ACAAGAAAATGCCTAACTCCTTTGGTTTTAAACTGTGACCTTGATTTCCATTTCATTGATGTGAAGCAAAATCGGGGGAAATAAGATAATGAAGACCTCAACCAAAAGCCCATGTGGCAGGATGGAGAGGCAGAGGAGGCAACTGGTCTGGGTGGGGCAATCTGCTGTGTTGGCCCTCTGCTTAGTAATTACATCTTGAAGAGTAAGTAGGAGTGAGCATTTCACTGTGTGTAAAGAATTGCATTAGATGTCAGCTGTCTTGTCTTCCTCAGTAACCTCGGTGATCTTCTAATACAGTTCTTGGAGGCTTTTGAGGTAAAATAGGTATGTTCATTTGGGCGTATATTACCTATTACATCACAAGACATGTTGCTAACTCGTATCATCTTAAAAAAGGCAAACTAAGGGAAGAAAATTTATTTTCTTTATTTTCCTCATTAGCATGCATATAGGTATATATGGAGAGATATATATACATATGCCATATGACATATATATTACATAGACACTAAAGGCTACATATTCATGGACAAGCACGGGTAGGCTAGGCATTCAAAAGGACTGGCTACTAAACACAATTTGGAAGATGTGTACTCCTGATCATTTGGTACTGCCCACAACGGATGAGATTCCTTGAAAGCCTGCCCTAAAATACAGCTAAGCCAGGCTATGGCACTGTTTGTGTGATTTTCTAAATGCTCTAATAATCTCTCTGCTTCTTCAGACTGTGTTCTTCATTAGGGCTTGGGCAAAATTTAACGATACAAATTCTGAGTCATATAAAAACTCGCCAATTTGCATTAATAGCTTGAAGAATCATTGAGAGCTACTCATTTTCTCAAATTAGCAAGTAAACCAGTGAATGTAGTAGAAAGAATGGAGTATGGAATGTACTCTACTTATTTAGCATTAATTTCTCATAATAACTTTATATGATGGCAGCAAACATCTTGCAGTATGTATTTTAGAGGATAATGAAATCTGAGTACTCTGTCCTCACTGCAAATACTCTGATGAAATCATTGTTTGAAAATGAATGTTATATATCATTACAAAATTAATTTCTGTTTTTCAGAGGATGTACCGAATCTAAACATCCAGTCACAGTATAAGTACACAGCCGGGCTTTCAGAAATACCAGAAGAAAGCACATTTCTCCTTTTCCCTGTCACATTTATCTGCTAGTCAGTGTTTTTACATCAATTCTAGAATGTGTTCATACAACATGGGATTATAAACTGAAGAAATATTTATTGAAATAAGGATACTTTTTCCTCTTCAAGGCCCAGTAAACCCTCTGTGTCTCTCTTCATATACTAAAACAAGAGGGGAGAGGTCAGTCTCTTCTGCCATACATCCATGGAGCATCATTAACCAGAATGCTTTGGATTCAGTAGAAAACTTTGGGTAATGAAACAAGTCTAGGGAAAATGTATATTTTTTTCCAATTTGCAGAGGTCTGAGCTCTAGAGCTTTGAGCTCTCTCTAAAGCAGAACGGAGCAACCAAGTACCGTTATATAGCTCATCGAAGCTAAAAGATGAGAAACTGGGAAGGGGATTTTAGGTTCAAGAAGTAAATAGAATGGAGGAAAGGATATGCTTCTGTTGTGGTGGGCTTTTACATTTAACTGCAGGACTGGCTGACAAAGAAACTTGCCGTGTAGCAGACAGACAGACAGACGCACCATAGCCTGTCAGAGATGGGAGGAGACGTGGAAGTCCTGGGGTCCAGAAGACAAGTGAGAAGGAAGAGCTCCAGCAGGGCTAACAGGCAATCCCACCGGGCAGAGCTCTGCCAAGGAGAGTGGTAATACTGGGAATCTCCTAAAATAGGAGTCTCTGGCCATGAGCCAGAAGCGCTGAGGTCAGGAACACTGCAATTAGAATCTCAGAAACCAGTTCTTCACTGAGAAAGCAAACTTCACCCTGCCAGCGGAAAAAATTGGGCTTGACCTTGCCAGGGGAAGCTTCTCAGTATGTCTGGTGTAGTTAGTTTTGCAAATAAACCTCAGCAGCTCTCGCAGTTTCCAAAATAAGCCAGCTTTTAAGGAAAAATATATGGTAATTTTAAACTATAAATAGAGCTTGAAGAGGAAAAAAGGCTAGGAGTGCAAGTACTTCCTTACCCACGTTTGCTGTAGTTACAGGCATGAGGAGAATATCCTTGATCTACTGGGCAGTCTCTGGAACAGTCTTGGGACTGGGTGGAAAAGTGTTTAGTGCTTGTAAATGATCATGAAGTCATGTATGTATTGTTCGTGGTGTCCTAACCCAGGATTTATTGTCCCAGTGCTGTTGCAGAACTAGGGACTTGAGTTGATTTAAAACAAACCTCAAAGCTTGTAAGCAAATTGATTTGCTTTGGCTTGAAAATTCTCATCTTCCTCACGTTTCTGTTAGCGGGGTTGTAGCTCCTTGTGTTCACCCATGCAGTGCTCTTCAGCATTAGGAGGATGTTAGAAATGGTGCATATCCCCAGTTAAAAAACGCTCCATTATACTGCGATATTAAAATCCCAGTCACGGGTGTGGAAAATTACTGGTATTTCTAGCTAAATAGGATGCCACGTTGTTTCTCTCCAGTGTGGGAAGGAAAGCCAAAGCAATGAGGCAGCTTGGTTACCTGCAGCTTTCTCTGTGCCCTGCAGCCCCAGCACAATCGGAAGCGAGCCGATCTGTTCCCAGTTCCCACTGCCAGCTCACGCCCTCAGCTCGGCAGTCCTCTGTGCCTTCCTCGGTACACGCACAACAGCAGCCCTTCATTTTGCACTCTGGCGAGATCTCCTCGTTTTCTCCCCCCTGTTAAAGGGCTGTGTGCGGGGAGGGCAGGAGCCCAGTGTGCAGCCAGGCTGGGTGGCCTCCCAGCCACAAGGCTGGGCATGGAAGAGGCTGGCTTCTGGGGCTCCTTCCTGCTTCCCATTTGCTGCCAGGGATTTGGGGGAAGGAAGCCGCCCATCAAAATGCAGCTGACCTTACTGTTAAGATGCTTTTCTTGATGTCTAACATGAATGTTCTCTGCTGCAACCTTAGTAAGCTGTGCACTTTCCCATTTGTTTAGCATGTATGAGCATGCAGAGCAAATCTTCCCCTTCCTCTTTGAGCACTTACCATTTTCCTTTCAGTTTTCCTTTTCTAGACCAAATAGCACCAATTACTTCAGCCTTTTCTCAAAGAAAAATAACTTCCTCAGGGGGATGTATTTTAATTTCACAACAGTGCAATGATTGTCTGTATTACAGCAGAATGAGCTCAGTGACTCTCTGGCAAGGCACTGCGACCTTGGGGTCCTTTTTTGCAGTATTCTTCTCTAACTCATCATTCTCTGTTTGCACAGTTTGTTGTTCCTGCCAAAGCCTTGCAACTTGTATTCGTCCTTACTAAATTACATTTCCAGCCCTTTTCTCCAAGGTAACAGGAACCTTACAAATTATGTTCCTCTTGGGTTGTGTGCTTGCAGAACACCTTCTTCATGCTGTCTGCAGCTGTAATGTGAACACTCAGTTCCATCCTTCAAGTCATTCCTGAGAGTATTGGATAATACCTGCCAAAGACAGACCTGTGTGCAAAGCCACTCAAAATACACCACATGATTTTGGCATTAAACTGTTGACTGTTGTCAGGGTGCAATTTTTTAACTATATGTCCCAAGATTTTTAATGAAAATATTAGACTGATAAGCAAAGTGGTATTAAAAAACCTGCTGCAACATATATGATCCATGTCACGTCACATATACAGCATATATAAAATTGATCTGAGCAATCTTCTACTTTTGTAATGTAGATGGGGTTGTAAATCCACCAGTTCTGCAATCAACTGTATTATCTACTGACTGAAAAACGAGATTTCATTTCATTAGGAAATTACTGGAATGTTTCCATAGCAGGTTTGCTAGAAAGAATAACATTGGCTTCTCTGAAACAATGTTCTTAGTTATCACACTATTTGCGTTAATTTGTATTGCTCATATAAATGCACAAGTCTGTAATTTATTGTGACAGCATTTAAGATTAAAAAAAAAATAAAATTGTGTATTTGAAGTCTTGTTTATGGGTTGTGTTCTAGCTAAAAGTGCCATTCGAGGACAGAAGAAAATTTGCACAAACATAGGTGATTATGTCCTCTTACTTACATGGTAGGTTGCAGAATATTGAAGAATTTTCCAAGGTCTCTTAACAATTCTAAAAACTTTCGGAAGAAAGTTATCAGGCAGATAGCTCACTTCCATGCCTTCCTTTCATATGGATTTTGTAGATAATTAATTACAATCATTTGCATTAAAGTATTTTGAAGAGAAGAAAGGGAAGTATTTTAAAGGGAAGAAAGTGTGTTTCTAATGAATTTTCATGAAGTTTAACTAATGTGGAAGATTTTTTTGATATTACTGTATTATTCAGAGCACATTCATATAAGAATTCCAGGGCATGTTAAAGAATGTTTATAATTAAATGCTAGACAAACGTAGTGTATGGTCAGAAATGTGGCTGTTATTCTGCAAGGTTGAGGTCCTTTATGTTTGATGATTTGCAATGTTGTATGTATTACAAAATTGTATGTAGTATGTTAAGCCTTTGTCATCTCTGCTCAGCTTGTCATGAGATATGGACTTCATGGTCTCCAGGGGATGATGTCTTTGGTTAAGTTAATGGAATAAATGGAAGAAACGTTTGCTTTCCTGTCATCTTTCATAAGACTTTATTGCCAGCTTTACAGTCCCTGAGCCATTATCAGCGAGAATACTGATATTAATAACGAGTGTGTCCATTGTTTTCAGAAAATATGTCAAAAGAAAATGAGTGTGAAAGCATGTAGAGTTGTGTAGGTTTAAATGATGTTAAACCTCATATTATACTAAAAATACTTAGTTGTTCTACCTACATACTTTAAATGCTTCAGTTAAAAAAACATCAATACATTTTTAGTGTTATAGTTACTTGTATTTCAGTGTTATTGGTATATTCTGTTTCTTTTTACAGTATTTTCTCATGTGTTCTCTTTAGAATGGCTTCACTCCATTATACATGGCAGCTCAAGAGAACCACATTGAAGTGGTGAAATATCTCTTGGAGAATGGAGCCAACCAAAGCACAGCTACTGAGGTGACGTATATTGTTGTTGTTGTTGTGTTTTTTTTTTTTTTTTAATACAAACTCTTATTTTCCTTTGCCTTTATATTCAGATCGCTTAGAAGATTTTCAATTTTTTTTCAAATATTTGGAGAACTTTTGCCCATTCATTTCACTGAGTTATATTTATGAATGTTAATGGTTTTTTTTCAAAACACACAGACAAACTGTTCTGGAAGTGGTGAGGAGTCAAGTGATGAAATCCAGCCCAAATCATCTGACAGGAAAAGATCCACTGACTTTAGTGAGCCCAGGATTTTCACCTTTAGTTTGTGCCCATTTCTCCTATCACGTTCTCAGAGACATTTTTGAAAAATGAATGAGACTTGGAAAGTGATCCCAAGGGAATCTCTGTAGAAATTGTAGGAGGATAAGGTGGCCTCAGTGAAATGGTATTGTCAGGGCAGTAAAGTGAAGAGTGGATCGATCATAGGCTAAGTGAAGAGGTACATGCAGCATTTCATTTGAATAGATGTATGTCTCTGTAACGTCTTTGCATCTCTGACAAAGCCCATGAAAACTCAAGCATCTGGAAGTGCCATCACCTGAGCAAGCATGGCTCTCTTTGTGGTCCATTTGCATAGTAACATGAAGGCAAATATCAGTGAATAGAATATTTTAACATGCATCTCCCACTCTTGTCTGTAGAGGGGGGTTCTCCTGAGGAAATGAAATGACTAACAAGAATTGCAGCAATGAGCTCACCAGGCAATGTGCTGTTTGCTCCTCAGACAGTTTACTTCTAGCACTAAACCATGTGGGTGTAAATATGCAAAAGGATGGTATTCATTGCTAGGGTCTGGATTTCACTGCGGTGCTGTAAACCTGCAGTAACTTCAGAGCAAGCAAAGCAGATATCAGTGGAAAAGAGATGAGTCTCCATCTCAAGAGAAACTGAATCACAACTTCCTTTTGCAAATGAGAGGATCTCAGGGCAATGGGGAAAACTTCTAGATAATGAAGACTGTGCTCACTTGATTTCCTGTTGCTCTCCTTCTGCCAAATCTTGTTTTGGTCTCAGCCAAGAGAGCAAGTGACCAGGCTCAGTTCTACAAAGTCTGTTGGCTTTGTGTTTGCTCTGTAGATAGGATATGCAACATGAAATAGTAATAGAAATGTTCCTCCCTTGACAAAGAGCTTTTGCTCATGTCTATTTAATTTCCCTAGTCTGTATAGAAACTTACCCACTCTGGATTACCTTCACAAATGGATGAATTGAAAATGATGTTGCACTGTATACTTGCTTTCCTTTACTTTAAACTGAACTGCTAGCCTTAGCAGCTGCTTCACTATCCCTTCTTTCAATGGATACTATACCATTTGATGACAGCTCCTAAAATAATCCTCTTGTGGCCTGCATACATGGAGATCGCGTTACCCTGCGGCTTTCTGAAATATGAAATCCTGTGTGATAGTCAGGCAACTTGGCAGAAACGCCCTCTGCGAACGAGTCGCAGTGGATCCTTGGCTCTCCAAGAGCCCAGCCTGGATTCATTGCACAGTCACCTGCTTGCAGTCTTGCAGTGAATAACTTGTGCTAACTGTGATCAGGAGCACTGGAAATTCATTCATTAATTTACAGGGACCGTGAGGCTGATGTGGTTATAATTAACATGGCTTCTGCTTGAACACAGGCTTCAAGTCATTACTGTAACTCATACTATGCTCTAATTCTGTTAAAAATAATAATAATAAAAAAAGGAGGCAGGGGAGGAGAAAAACCAGCTGCACCTCCACTCAGAACCTGAGTCCAAATCTGTCTTCTCTCACCAGGAAAGGTCAGATCTCACTTTTGTGGCCTGGAGGTAAAAGCCTGTCTATCCCTTTATCACTTACTTAGACAAGTTTTCGTTTCAGATCTTGCTCAGGTGATGGTTTAGTGATGTGAGTATAATTGAAGGATGGACTGAACTACTCTCTGCATTCATATGTGCCCAGAATTTAGTTTCACAAACAGAAGGAAGAAATGATACATGAAATAAGGTGGGATAGCAGCCTGAACTGAGGATGCCACCACAGCACATGGGAAAGACATTCTGTTTGGCCCCAAAGATCATTCTCGTGTGATGAGAATGGGGAAATGCTTTCTCAGGGCTCCTGTTAGCCGTGCTTTCCACAAGTAGTAGGAGAGAATGCAGAAAGGGCTGGGGCCTTTTAGGGAAAGATGAAAGATAATGCAGGGAAATCAAATGGTTGATCTTGTCTTTGAAGCTTTGAAGCTAGCACCGCCTTTGGATATACTTTGTTTCCTCTATTCCAATTTCTTGCACTTTTATATATGCTTAGGTACAAAATGAGAATCAGGATGAGCTCAGTTTCATAGGGCCCTCTAATCCAGGATTTGTTCTCATGTTTCCAGAGGCAAAAAGAAAATGCATTAAGCCATTTCAACACCTAATGTGGCCCCAATCTCAGAATTATCTTTACAGTTCAGCTGTTTCATCAGCTGTTCACCAGTTTTTAATTCACTGTACAGAATTTAATCTCTATTACAGAAAGAAACTATAATAGCATAGCTGTTGCAACGCACCTACCCACAGTTCAGCGCAAAAGGGAGTGCATGTTATTAAATTACTAGGGGGAAAAATTACTTTGGCAATTCCTCAGATGTTTCTTTCAGCATATGTTGGCTCCCATTCCTGCCTAAGTCATCCTTAATTATTTTATCATCTTTCCGTTTTCCTATTCCTAATCAATTCTGTCTCTTACGCCTTATGTGTGTTAATGTGTCTTAATCAGTTTGCTCACTTTCTGGCTATAATTAACACTTCTCTAGATGTAGAAAACCTTGTTTTATTCCCTTCCTTTACATTTCACTGTTATTCAGCATGCCTTCTGGTCACAGGCTCAGTTTGAGGGCTGCTCTGCTCCTCATGGTTTAGCTGCCCTCCAGTCTAGCATGTGGTTGTAGCACGTGTGCTTGGGCAGCACGCAAGACTTGAGCTAGATTTAGTTTTATAAATCAGAATAAAGGGCGTCTGAGCAGGCAGTACCTGTTGAGATAGCAAGTTGTGAGCACATGCTACGTGTCACAGCATTGGTAATCTAGGCCATGTGTGATGGAGCAAGAAATTTTGAAAATAATTTTAAAACAAAGCTAAAAATATAAAGGAAAAATAGATAGATTTTCCTGACTTTGTTTTTTCCAGAAATAACGTGATGTTTTGCTGCTTAGAATTAGAATAAATTACTAAATATGATCTGACTTTCTGGAGTCACAGCCCATGCATGACTTAGAATGGGAAAGAGAAGCAAATGCATATGAAGATCCGCTTTCTTTTCCCAGAGGTACTCAGAAACAGGATCCCTTTATATTTTACACATCTACCTTGTGCAGTGCTCACTAATCCTTTTGAAAATGTTGCAAAAATGTGCTTTGTGGTCCATTTTAAGATGACAAGTTAATATGAGAGATACTGTGGAATGATTCTTTGCTTGTACTGTGCTTAAAATATATAAATACGTACACACACATGTATATATATACATATGTACTTTGAAGTGAAAAAGTGTGCTTCTGACATGTTTGGAGTCACATCTGGGTTAAAATGTTTTGCCTCCAATGTCATTTCACTGGAGTGCACTTGGTGCAGAGGTAGAAACCAGCTGGTGATGTGCTTATGAAGTTTCCGTGTGCGAACAGTGCCGTGCAGTTCAGTGAAGCTCCGTGTCCTTCGACTTACTGCGGATGTTCTGTTTGCTTGTCTTGCAGGATGGTTTCACTCCCTTAGCTGTTGCACTGCAACAAGGACACAATCAGGCAGTGGCTATCCTGCTGGAAAATGACACCAAGGGGAAAGTGAGATTACCAGCCTTGCACATTGCCTGCTAGAAAAGATGACACCAAATCAGCAGCGCTCTTACTGCAGAACGACCACAACGCCGATGTGCAGTCCAAGGTAACGCCACGCTGCCCTGCAGGTAACAGGGCATCACGTGGCTGAGTGCCAGCGGGCAGCAACCTTTTACTCCCTTCATCCTAAGGGTTGAAGGGAATTTCTTCTGTGGGGAAAGACAAGTTCCACAACCAGTATCGCCAGTAATGTATCTACTTCAGCAGTGTTTAGTGACACAGTAATTGCAAGCTACACATTTTTTTTTTTTTTTGCTTTTTCCTTATACCTCCCATTTCTGTGGTAACCAGCCTTCTCTCATTATTTGTAAACCAGAAGAAAGAATGGAAGCAGAATCACTGCTTCCCTATTAAATAGGATACTGGTTTGTTGCCTGTGGGAACATAGATTATGTTTAATGTTAATGCATGCTTCAGTGGCTTTTCCCATTATAACAACATAACTCATTTCAAAAAGCAACTTAGTTCTCCGTTTTGCAGCCAGTCTTTAATATCTTTCCTCTTTTTCCCAAACCATGCTGCATCAGATGATGGTGAATAGGACGACTGAGGTACCGAGATCAAAAATTTTTAATTATTCTTTGTTATTTATAATTATTTTATCTGCTCTGTGGCAATATTTATTTAATATTTAGCACTAAAAGTTATGACTTTTTAATGAATAGCAATTTGTGACTCAGCAAACCTGTTTTTATTCATCCTTTGTTTTTTAATTTCTTTTTATTTGTGTCACCATATTGAAGTAAACTTTTGAAAACTCACATTCAGTTCAAAGAATTTTGAAGTGAGTAATGGACCTAAGAGAATGAAGATGTTCCTCTAGCTCAATTAAATTAATTATGAAAATGCACTAACTTGGCATAACTATATTAAAATGTCTGGCTCAGCCAGAATCATGATAAAATTCATTTTACTTCTCGTACAGTAGAACATATAATTGAATCCTCCAAGGTAAAAACTTGTTCAGAGCATCTGCTTATTTTCACCATTGTTCTTGTTATGATCTTTTCAGTAAAGTTTTCAGAAGTCCTTAGGGGATAGTACATAATCAGAATATTACAGTTCTTGTACTGATTGTGGAAGTGACAAGTCTCCACAAGTACTTTCACTAAAAGTGAAGTGTCAGATTGGCTAGACCTCTGATTCCCCCCGAAAAAATTATTGTCACATTTAGGAAAAAGCATTATTTCCAAGAACGCAGTCTCTTTTTTTGAATGCCTGCTTCTTCACTTACGGTAAATGTGAAGCAGTTTCCATCTCCTTCACTGGCCATTACATTGACATAAAGTACCTTGCATTTGTCACAAGGTAAATACATGTCCTTGAGAAGTTAGTTGTCAATGCAACATAAATTCACTCTGTAGCTTAGTACAGGATCGTATTTGTGTGCCAATGTCCTCAGTAGACATTTTCCCAGTAATTTACCATGGCAACAAGGCTATGAATTTGATGACTTCGACCAGGATCACCTGTGGGCTGACAAAGAAGTAAATGGAGTTAGGTTAAAATAATGGTCCAATTGATGCGTCTTTGGGGAATAAAGTTGATTTCAGAGTGCAACATCTATCTTTATCCCACATTTTTATACACATATTTATTTATACATGTCTTTATTCTGTGAGCAGTTTACAATAATGATTGGTACACTGAAAGAAAGAAAACCTAGTTGAAAATACAGTATAGTCCAGAAGCCAGAAGTATTTTTCTTTCCCATAACCACCAATAAGATTGTAAGTTCTGATCAAATCAGTGTAAAGCTCTTTAGGGAAACCTCAAATATGAGGCCCTTTCTACTTGAATTACTTATGAGCCTAAAAGCTTGCTGCGTGCCCTACTTTCTGAAAAATTAATCTTTTTTATTTTGTCGTCAGGTAATTCTGTATCTTGTAAATGAATTGTGTTTCACCTTCTAGTGCTCAAGGGGCAATAAGTAAATCGTGTTTTTTCTCAAAGAGAGATGGCAAAGTTTCTTTGGCTCTTTTGAGATCTAAATTATATATAAATGTAAACAATTATGGTTCTCAAAATTATGCTTCTTATAATAAGCAAAGTTTCTCATGTAGACCAAGCTCTTGGATTACATCTTGAATAATCTGTAATTCTTAGCTCAGTAAAACCAGAGTCCAAGAGTTTTTGTTGTTTTTAGACAAAAACAGTAAACAGATGCAGCCCAAAAGACCCTTGTTGTTATGAATTTTAATAAGGAAGCTCCCTTTATTTTCTTTAAGGATGGATAATATATCAATTAATAAATAATATATTTATGTTACGAAAGCTACTGATTTCTTTTTGGCTTGATCGCTGGCTCAGAAAATGAAAGAAAGAAACACTTTTGATAATATCCCACCTGAAAACCCATATACCCTGCCTGAAAGACTTTGCTATATTATAGGTTAACTGGATAAAATCAGCGTAATACATTTGTTTGCCAGCAACTGTTAAAGTCAGGTTCTAGTTAAGTTGATTATATTGTATAAATTGATTCCTATAATGAGGACTGTTTCCTTTTGTAGAGTGGCTTTACACCTTTGCACATAGCTGCGCACTATGGAAATGTCAATGTGGCAACGCTGCTGCTAAACAGAGGAGCTGCAGTTGATTTCACAGCAAGGGTATGGAGGAGTTTTTTTCTCTTTTTAGTTGTAATGGCCTATGAAAGTGGGAGCATATCTTTGTGTAATTCCTAGTCAAGAGTAAATGAGAAGCAAGATAATGCTGAAAATCTGTAGTATTCATGACATCTTTTTTTTTTTTCCTCGTAGTTTTAAAAAGTTACCTTCATGCAGAATCCTTGGGAGCTTACTGTCAACTAGTTTTCCCAGTTGACAGAAGCAGGCTCCTTTGAATTGTGTCAGAGTGCCGATGTTCTCAGGATATGTCAATTTATTTTAGCTTTCCTGTCAGTTAGACATACTTCAGAAATATGTATCGGGCTTATTGTCTTTTTCCTGTCTGTTAGGGATTTACTATACCACTTTCATTTGATATTTTCACATGTAAACATATTTTGAAATAGCAAAAGTAAGGTACAGTGCCATTATATGAATATAACATTATAAGTGCTAATTAATCATGACTAATATTTTACGGTAAGCAACTGCAGATCTACCTAAAACAGTCTATTTGTTTTCATGCATTACTTAGTTTGAAGCATGTCATCTGGTGCCATGAAAACCTCTGGTAATCTGTATATCGCTAAATCTGCTGGATCACAGATTTCTGTTTGATTTTGCATTGCCAGGCACATTTTGAATTACTTTAGGATTCAGCCTTTCAGACTGACTTCCTCCTCTTGCCCATCTGGAGTAGCTGCTAATGTTACCTCTTGCCCTCACCCCAAGCATTTGCAAGGACTTTCAGCTTAAACAGGACCTATGCTATTTACATTACGTTTATGAGATTACTTTGTGCAGGAGTCGTGCATTTGTGTAATCTGTGTGTTGCAATGATTTAAATGCATCAGTGTTTTGTGAATATTGACTCATTGGGACTCTGGTATATGTTTGTTTATTTGTCTGACTCTGGGACTGCGATGTTTGCTGCTTTTGCAGATGTGCTTCTTCGTTTATAAAACAAATGAACACTGAATAAAGATTCTTGCTTAAAAAGGAATACTAACTCTAGCTTATATGGTGTGTGCCTAGCTCTGATGCTCAAGTACATTTTCATTTATTCTCTATAATGTGATGGTCTCATTTTGTGAGCCAAACACAAATTCACCGCCATTATACACCTTCAAATCCATCATGCTCATTGTTTGTTCTTTTCATGGTGTAGAATGGAATCACCCCACTGCATGTGGCTTCCAAAAGGGGAAACACAAACATGGTGAAGCTCTTGTTGGATCGCGGAGGGCAGATCGATGCCAAAACCAGGGTGAGTGTTTCTATTCCCTGAATATGATGTTGTCCCTTCTTGGGAATGGATTGGGATTTTTTGCTTGCTTGTTTTTTGATTTTTTTTTTAAATTATTTTATTTTATTTTATTTTATTTTTTGGTTGTTGTTTTTTTTTTTAAACCAGAGACTGGGAACATCAAGCTTCATAACTAGGCATTCTGCTTCAGTAATTGTGTCTTGTGTTCTGTTCTTAAAGTGAGACATTAGATGCAGCTGTTACAAATTTCTCAAAAAGCCAAACAAAAAATGTTCAGCTGAACACATCTCCAAAAATATTAAACATTGCCTCTTCACAAGCGTACTGTTTGTGAAACTTGGACCAAATTTACATGATGACTCCAAAAACAACTTCTAAAGAAGTATTTTTCTACCCTTTTTTGTACTCAGAATTCTACCTTTAGTTTTCAGGCTATTTGTTTTACGTAGACTGTTTTCTGTGGTATCAGAGTAAAGAATGGCAGGCATTGATGACAGAAGGAGGCAGAAAAACTCTTTCCTTCAGTGTCCTCTATAACCTACCTGCATCATACAAGAAAAAGCTGATGAAACTCCGATCTCGTTGAGGAAAGAGCTAAGTGTGCTATTTGATCCCACTACATGTGGCACAGGAGCACATGTGCTGCATGGCAATGGGAGGGCCTAAGCCCAGCTAAGCCTTTCTGTCCCCTGACTCCTGTATGTTTGTGCCAGTCAGCATGAAAAGGAAAGCTACATTAGTAGGCTGGCAATCACTTCTTACTGAAGAGTCAGTGTTGGGAACAAGTAACCTACTCTGTGCCAGCAGAGTGTCACCTCCTCCCTGGACAAACCACAGAGAATTAGGTGATTACTGATTTCCTCCCCCTAATTGCCTTGTTGAAAAGCCACAGCAATACTTTGCTCTTCATTCATTCAGGACAAACAAAAAACACACCACTTTGTATGTGCAGGGTTAATTATTTAAAATTGGATTTTGGAGCCACTCAGGAACATGTGGTCGTTAATGCAAAGTGAAGAGCACAGAACTTTGTTATTGAAAGCTGCTTGTTCTTAAGCACTGATCTGCAAAGTATTATCTCCAGGTAATATACAGTCTTTCAGAACACAGTTTATTGCTGCACTTAAGAGTTTGAACCTAAATAGTTTTTGTTTAATAAGGTAGAAAGCTAGGGTATATTGCATTCAGTTGCCCTTGTGGTTTATTCAGCCTCAGCAGTTACTTTGTTACTAATTTCATCAACTATTTGTTGCTTCATAAACTAGGAAGAGAAGCATGATTATCATGTAACTCTGTATGTGATTATGATTTGAATTACTTTGAATTACTTTGAATTCCTGATGTCTCTCTTGCTCTTATTTTTTTAAAAAAACTAATGATGATGGAAGGTGATACATCTTAGGAAGGTGTGCAGTAAATCATCTCTGTTCAAACTCACCTTAAGAAGTGCCTAAAATCCTATGGAAAAGAGGCGTGAAATGGTAATAATACACTGCAGTCAGGATATTTCACATATGCATAAACACAGCAGTCATATAGAAATGGTCCATGTAGCCTATGGGATGACAGTATTGAATTCACCTCTTTGCCGTTCAGTATTTAGATACTTGTTTTGGACAAGTTGTGCCAGATGATTGAAAGGACATCTTGGATTTTATGAGGTCAAGATGTATCCCCTCCCCGCACACCCAGAAAGATTGATGTGCAGTTTTGAATGAAACTGAAAGACCAGGACTTTGCCCGGTGTAGGTGGAAGGCTCTAATTTTAGAGTCTTCACATTGTCTCGGCTTCCTGCCCTTTGTCAGCTGCTACATTAGCACAAAAACTGCTAGCACAAGTGCTACTGGTGACAACCCATAAAGGTATCCTAAAGCACGTACATTCCAGTTTGCACAGGTTCAGCAGCTTCTTCTTGCTTCCATCTTCTGCCTTCTCTCTGCTCGAAGACACGCGGTGGTGGCCGGCTGCGTGTACTTTACAGTGGGGGAGATTCCAGAGCTTTGGTTTTGCCGTCAGTGTCTCTCTCTGTGGCGTGCTCTTGTCTTCATGCCAGCTGTTTATGTAGTCTTGGTGTCTTTTTCTTTCCTCTTTGCTTTGTCCGCATGCCTTGTGCTTTGCTATGGCCGTGAGTACGTAGGGTACTGAGGAGGTAGGTTGTGTGTTGCATGCCATGCATACATGTGTTTTGTACTTTAAAGGAGAGGCCTCTGCCGCCTCCTCCTTGGTACTAACATGCTTGCCTTTCCATACTTGCCTTGTCATTTCTCCTAAAGAACACTTGCATTTTTCCAGTAGGTCAGATTCACTGAAAAACAGTGGAATTAAATGTGCTAGGATATTTCATTGCCAGGTAGCTTGGGCTTTTATTCAGGGTCTCTGTACCATATTGAGATAAGCTGTTCAGTTAAAGAAGTATTCATTGCTTTCATTCATTTTATTTTTAACCTTTTTACATGACATCTGATGATGCATAAATTAAGATGCGAAAAAATATTTTAACAGATCTTAACTGAGCCCCCAGTACTTTAACTTTACATAGTTAATCTGCAAAGTCTTTTTACGTTTGAAAATATTCCATTGGAGTATTAGGAGCCTATGCATTGTCCAAAAAAAAAAAAAAAAAAAGTGCATTCTTCAGAATGAGTAAATTATGAATGTGTCCTACTGTTCCATAGTTAATGTTGCATGTCAGAGAAAAGCCCTACTTACTGCAGGAACTGGTTTTGTTTCATATGCATTTCATAATGTATTTCCTGAAATGTTATGGCATTTCTCTCTAAAGCTGTAGAATTGCAAGTAAATCCACTTGTTGTATATGTACGTTTAAACAATATTAAGTGGTTTTGGTAAGTTTTACTGTTTTTCTCAAATAACTACTAAATAAGTTCTTAAAAGTGTGATTTCATTTCTCTGTTGTATTGTATCTAAAGAAAAAAATGTAAACCCCATTCCCAATGGTATTGATAGGATTTTTTGTTACTACTGTGTTATATTGACATTTGTGCTATTTATATTTACATAAAAGCTTCATCTGGAGGTCTGTTTGATCAATGGTTAAAATTTCTGATGCTAAAACGTTTCATATTTAAAATCTGAATCAAACCTGTAATCTCTAAAAGTTCACCTTAAAAAAGGACTTCAGTGACATGTTTTAAAAATACTTTATTTAGCTGAGCTTCTGACCTGCATGGCTTACTGTGGTGGACCAGTGGAGCTGGGTTTCAGAAGCAAATGCCAAAAAACTTGGCATCAGTGTGTTATCTCTACAAGACAGTGGAAATTTCAGGTTTTGATTAAATCATTGCCATGTGATCAAGAGAAATGTGGCAATTACCAGTTCTCACTTTGAGGGAAGGAAAGCATTTTTGGTTGCTCAAGCTTCTGCTCTCGGGATGGGAAGCTTACCGTGTCAGAAAGCAAATACCTTGTGTGCCAGGAGGGTGGCAGCTGGAGAGGGGCAGTAGGCCTGGTGATGGTGGGCAGAAAGTCTGGGGTGAGATCTGGGTTGGAGAAGGGCCTCAGGAAAGGACGGAGACCCAGCTGGGCCTGAAAGGAGCAGAAGGGTGGTCACAGAGACGTGGGGTACCAAGGGGAAAGGAAGGGGAAGCTGGAAGGGAGGGGGGAACTTGGATTGTTTGTTTTTTTTTGGTGGTGAATGGGCTTCAGACACCCCTCATCAGTCATGTTGGGAACCTTTTGAGATTTTCTTCGTTCCCTTTTTGTAAATATGCATCCTGACAGAACAGGCATGGCTCTCTGCGATCACAACGTGGCCGTGGGCCTTGTGCCATTAAGCCAGCATACCGGGAGCCTCACACCCGGCCCGGTGCTCTGCTTGCAGCGTTTGCTCCTGCAGTAACACTGCTGTGACATTTGCTCCTGCTCTTACGAATGCACAGAGCCCTAACATTTCATGGGCAGTTTTTGCTATTCCTAAAGTAAAGTGGGATTGTAAATAGCTCATCACAATGCAGATGCAGGCTATAAAGATAATGTATTCATGGGATGTTTGCAAGGTGGGAGGGATGTTGTACAGATTATCTAAGCAAGCAGTACAGATAGCGATGATTATGTAGAATTATTTAAGTTAATATCTTATTACGCAAGCAGATGCATGGTATATTTTTGCTGTGTTCTTTAAATTTGTACCTTGAGAGGCATACCCGGAGGAATACTTTAGAGCATGTTCAGTTACATCAAGACTCAGAGCTTCGAGCAGGAGGTACACTTGCCTTGTTCATTTTTAAAGACAAGCACTTTAATAACAACATAAAAATGATCTAATGTAAAGGCCTTTATTTGTCAAGCAATTTGGACATTTTTGCACATCAAACGTACAGAATACTAAAATTTCATCTCACCCCTGTACAAATGAGAATATGCAGCTGCAGTTTGGAAGAATTCTTTGATAATATGGCCTTTGACATTCATGTGCTGTCACCAGTCTTCATTCGAATGAGCACCGAATGTGCACAACTGTCCTTCTGTTAAGACACTGCCCGCATAATTTCCCATTTTCCCAAGTCTTCCTTGTAAGCAAAGCTTCTTTTTATTTCAGTCTCTCTGGTAAACTGAGGTTAAAGCATTTTGATTACTATGAAATTACTTACTAATTTATTTGCCAGGGTTCTGCAGTTAGGAGTCATGCATGGAATTAAAAATTAATTATGCAGGTTAAAAAATGATCAGTGATTGATCTTTGGGTAGAAAAAAAAAAAAAAGAGCAAAAGTTTATTTTCTATTTTGACAGCCATTTAAGAGGAAATAGGAAGGATGGAATTTCCTGGCTTCCACACATACAGAGCGGATTGTAGTGTCATTTCTAGCTGTGCCCCACTTCTTGGTTACATTGCAAAGAGTGTGCTAGGAGAGTACCACATCCAGGAACAACTGAATGCCAGGTACAGGAAGCCACCTGGAAGATGAAAACATTTAACTTGCCGTTATATATATTATTTGGGATGAGGGAATAAATACTGGGCTTTTAAAAACATAGAAGCGTTGAATTTCGTGTCTCTTTCTGTGCTTCAATCTGTGTCTCTTCGACCCTATGTTGTGTGTATGTCCTGTCACATGGCATTAGATACTTTGGTCAGCATGCAATCTTCACCTCACGTGGTGTACCAGTTAGCGATGGAATGATTAAAAAGGTAGGTAGGCAAACTCCTGCAGCAGGTGCCAGAGCATAGAGGTTCACTGCGAGTAGATAATGGTGCAAAAGCAGACTGATTTTGTACAGTATGTTTCTTGATGTTGGTTGATGTCAGCTTGTCCTCATTGTATTATGTACTAATTCTACTATAACTCTCTTTTCAATTTCCCTCATCTTTGAATAAAACATAAGCACAAACAGAATTTGTATATTAAATATACAACATTTTTAAAATATGCATACAGCTTTACCCAGGGCAGAAAGAAGGAAGAGAAAGAAAATTACATGGGAAGGCTGCAAAGTATATGCTTAATTCAGCTACTGGAAACTGCACAGATAGTAAATGATACACATTTATGAAAAATAGGGCAGGATAAATAGGATAGATATATTTTTAAAATCTATTTTTACAGGCAATTATAGATAAGAAAAAAGGAGAAAACATGCTTTATAATGATTTAGTTCTTTTACCTAGACTTTCTTGTAGAGTTGAGGTGTTTCTTGGCTTGTACTGTTCTTTTTCCCTCTCTCTGAGGATTTGTCCCGTTTCTTTTCAAGACTTCACACAATTCTACCTTTCTCTTGCTATTCTATTAAATGGAATAACATCAAAGTCAATATGTAGATAAGGAAAGTGAACCTCCCACCTTGATTAAGATGCAGAGCACAAAAGGCCAGAAACTGTAAAGAAATACCAAATAATTACCTTTCATAGAAATGCATTTGAGACATATTCTCGTCTTAGTAATGCTAGTGGGAATTTTGTGCATGAATCCTTCTGGCAGTGAGATGAAAATATACCTGTTTTGCATTTAGAGGCTTGATTTAGGGTCCTCTGGAGTTTCAGAGAAGAAGAAAACAGGTAAGTTAGTTATACTCAATTCCTTCATTTTGACCAGATCTGTTAGGTGCTGAGCACCCTTGAATTCTGTTCATGGGTTTGATCTTGCATCTGCTGAATTTCATTGCAAAGCTTCCAGGGGATTTAGGGATGCAGCAACTGCCTCTGAGGTAGTGAGCACCAAGGCACACCTAACCCCGTCAGATGTTTCTGAAAAGTCTCTGGAAACGGTAGATAAGTAAAGGAGAAAAATTCTCCCCAGATCTCAGTTCCTCACTGATGTGGAGCTTTGTGTGCTGCTATCTCAGGGAGGTGCTCTGTGCTTTTAAAATTTAGGATGAGACAGGATGTACTTCTTGGAAATACCATTTGTAGAGTATTAAAGGGCTGTGCTTGCATAATCAAAACGATATTGCAATCTAAAACTACTTTTAATTTAAAATTGTTAATAGTAGAAGTGAAAATCTCATGATGTAGACTTCCCACAGACTCCACGAAGGCAAACAGTATACTGTGTGTGAAGGAGGGTCACTAACTCCTACTTAATGCCACATTACTGCATTTTCACTACCTTTTTGACCTGTACATAATAAATTTATCTCAGACAAGCATGCTCATAATTGCGCTGTTACTGGATTCTTCAGAAGGCACCCTGGAATAATAGCATCTACTTCATCTAAGACAAGCAGCTTGTCTCAAAGAGAAAAGGCTTTCTCTGTGATTGAGACTATTGCTATTTCACAGTTACAAGCCTATGTCTGTTGAAGGAGTATTGATGGCTTTTCTTAGCGTATGCTTGAAAAATATTAGGGCCTAATGAGATAAAATCTTGGGTTATGAATTTTCTTTTTTCTGTCATTCAGCTCTAATGTTCTTTTCCAAACATTTTTCTTGCTTCATATTTCTTGTCTTTTTCTGTATGAAATCCAAATTGTAGCAGAAGTACCTAGAATGCATTCCCTGTGTAAATGTTTCATTGATGCATCTTTTGTGATCTCTGCTGTGATCATTACTGAGTAGCCTAAACAAATCTTTTCGTACAGGATAGTGTTCTGCAATGGAAAAATACTGTGGAACTGGTGCTCTCACAGTAATTTTAGGAAAGAATTGTTACCTCTTTGTTCTCAATCACAGAAACAAAAGATTTCGTTCCCTTAGTTTCTCTTCTCTTTTCTTTCTGCTTTAAAACCGCCTTTCTCCTGCTGCCTGTTTGAAAAAAATAAAATAAATTCTAGGACAAATTTTCTAGCATGGACATTTCTTCTTTCATCTCTGTATCAAAAGCTATCCAGAGGATGGGTTGATTAAGTAGAGCATCTCTGGCCTAGCACACATTAACCAGAGAGGCAGTACAATCTCAAATCCATGCAGAGGAGACAGAGAGGAGGAGGCAATGCATGCTCACATTATCCTCTTTGATAAGACTTCCAACACACAGTGGGCTTCCTCTCTGAAACTGTAATCTTAGTACAAGGAAAAATAGGGAGGAAACTTCATGTAATGGAGCCAGCTTCAGTTAGGAGTCAATAAGTGAGCTTTTTAACACATTTGTGGGGCTGTGTTGTTGCAAGGGTGTTTCTCAGAGTGCCATAATGGACACTGGAGGATGTGCTCATTTCCTTTCCCTCGTTTTGCTTTAAGGATGGACTCACCCCACTCCACTGTGCTGCAAGAAGTGGCCATGACCAGGTTGTGGAACTTGCTTCTGGAACGAGGTGCCCCACTGCTTGCAAGGACCAAGGTGAGTGCCGTATTAGAAGATACAGTAACAGCTCTATATAACTTTCCAAATCATGTATAATGTCACTGAAAGGACGAGGAAGAAGAGAGGAACATTTCAGTTCTCCCAAAGGAAATGTATTAATGGGTATAATGGTCCAGAAATAAGGTTTTCTTACATAATTAGGAACTATGCTTTCCAAAGATGTGAAACAGTATATACTTCAATACTCCTCTCTGTAATCCCAGACTAAACACCTGAAGTACAGTGCTATTGAAAGCACTTCACTTCTGTGGCTTCTTACAGCCGTAAGACAGAAAGATGGAAAAGGTGGGTCAGACATTTCAGAGAACTGATTCTAGGTATATATTTTCCTATCCTTCATATAAACTAATTAGGACCTGTGATTTTTATGGACTATTTCATACTTGGAAAATTATTTCAGTGTCTTCTTATTGATTTCTGAAAAGAGTATATCTAAGATGAATGCATTTAATTAGAAATACTGTCTCTTTGGTCAAAACAGTGAGAAAAAGACCCTTGTAGCATAATAACAAACCTCAATGAGCAGCACTTCACATCAATAGATTTCAGAGTGTCCGACAAAGGTAGCTGGTATCATTAGCTGCAAAACAGTGGAATAAAGTATTGCAGCAAGCAATTTAAGTATCATTTTCAGACCACTGCATGCTTTATTGAGCCCCACTCCCTCAAACAGGGCTCTAAACAAGGGCAATTAGTGTATTCTGAGCCATTGTTGTACTTACTGGAGACCAGTAATATTTTCTCTTGATAGTCTTCAGGAGGTTTTATCACTGAGTTGCATGCATATCAGATACATTGAGTAAGGATGTCCTCAAGCTTTGTATCCCTTGGTAGCACTAAGTAGTCCAGATCATCTCTTTATACAGGAGGGATCCACAGTGAGATGGTAATTGTAGGCAAAAAAAATAATCCTTAGGACCTTCTCTGCTCCCTTTGGTGGGAGAAGGTGCTTAGGTGTACCCTATCTGTCAGCACCCTTCAGTTCACTAAGAGGTAGAAAACCTTGGTAGAACAGACCCTACCACATATATTGTGCGTGCTTCAGGCAGGACTCCCACATGCTCCCATTCAAAGGCAGAGGTTGCCAGATAGGGCAAAACATCTGGGCTGCTGTGGCAGCATCTGGACATTCCCCTGTGTTGAGGACTGAGCAGAGGAGAACTGTACTGTGAATAATTCCCTCCTTCCAGTTAACAGTCACTTTGACCACACCAATTCAGTTACCAGTTCAAGTCTCTGTATTATAGCCTGTCTTTTAACACAGTGCTTTTTAAATCTCTCATCACATGTAAAATGTTATGCATATTATTAGCAAGAGTTCTCTTTCCTTTGAATTGTCTGCTTCCCACAGATTTCAACATAATATGTTGAATATGTTTTATTAAATATTAAATCATAAGGCAAGACCCTTAGATTATTTTCCTTTGATTAACAACCGATTTTAATTAATTATATAATGTTTCTCTAAATTTCAGTGCGTTTCCTGGAAGGGGAAGGGTGACTAGAGTTTTTATTTTTAATTCCATCTGTAGCTCAAATGCAGCCCTGTTTCGGTGATGGGATTACTCTGCGAAGTCCCAGTGGCATTCTTTGAGAATGTGCTGTTATTTAGGAGAGAGGTGCTAGAAGTTACCATTCCGTTTTCTTTTGCCACAGAATGGGCTCTCCCCACTTCACATGGCGGCCCAGGGGGACCACGTGGAATGTGTCAAACATCTCCTCCAACACAAAGCTCCTGTGGACGATGTCACCTTGGACTACCTGACCGCCCTTCACGTGGCCGCACACTGTGGCCACTATCGTGTCACCAAGCTCCTTCTGGACAAGAGAGCAAATCCCAATGCTCGTGCCCTGGTAAACCTGTCCCACCTGTGTCACATAGCAAACCTACCAAGGGCAGATGAGTAGCTCTTCCTAGTAAAGCCAAGTGAAAACTGTCAAGAAACTCCAACAACCCTGAATAGTTGCAGTCACAAAGGGGTTGCCACACTTACTCATTACCAGTATTCTGTCTCCTATCATTAAGCCTAGTCATGCACCATGTCCCATGACCAGTGGCTGTAGTGTCAGGTCTGGACGCTCCACAGAGTTCCTAAAGTCACAGCTGTTTCTAGGTGATGGTAACTTATGCATTGGTATTTTGTTGAATTGATAGCTTAGTTTTTCATACTATGTTGTGATACACAAATAATTTTTAAAAACTTTCAACTGAATCAGTAAGCTAATCGGCATGGAGAAAATATATGACAAAACTAATATTTCTGTATTTATCAGATTAATACATTCCCTTGTATTAGGTGCCATGTTCCTTCCTTTTTAAAAAACAGTTCTTCTGATGCTTACATGAAAACAGGTATGATTCCTTTCACTCACTGTGCAAACCATCATCTCCTAACTAAGAGAAAAACATCATGTTTGACTTCAGGAGCATAAAAAGCTTTCAAGAGTCTAATCTATCCAAACCCAGACAATATTTCTTCTGCTCTGTCATTTTTCTTGACCTCTCTATACTTGCAAATCTCATAACCCCTTTTTCTTCCTTCCTCATCTTATGTTTTTCTTGTTTGGTTTTTTCCAGCATCATTTTCAATTGGTTGGTCTTTTTCAATGCTGTTTTCATCCTGACTTGTTTTTCTTGCCAGTCTTCTGATTATCTATAGCTGTACTTTCCTCAGCTGCCCACACATACACATTGTATGCTAGCCCCCACATCTTCTTTCTTTCCTTCCATGACCAGAATATACCTCCCTCTCCCTTCCTCCCTCCCCGAGAAACATCTATGCTGAAAGGAAAGGAGAACTGCTCAGGCTGCTCCTTCCTTCTCTCCTTCCCCCTCTCTCATACTCTCGCGATTCCTCCCCCATCAGGGACCTGTCACCTCTGGCTTGTTTACAGTATTTAATACATTAAATACATGATTTCTGTTAGTACTATTTTTTTTATGCCTTCGCTCATCAAACTGCTTCTTGCTTAAATAGAAATAGGAAAGTCAAATCAACTCAGGCAATAAATTAAGTGGAAAATATGAAAACTTCTGAAACAGTAAAACTCCCTATGAAATATATTGAGATATGATGTGCAGGAGGTAGAATATCTAATGGTTTTGGTTACTTCTTAAGAAACTAGGGAAGGCTAATAGTAATATTCGGCAGAGAGTACTGTGATGGAACAAATTTTACAAATAATTTATTTTCATTATATTTAAAAATATAATAATGACTATTTGCAAAACAATTTAGGGATACAAGCACTATATGAGCTCTCAGCTTTTCCAATCTGTGTATGCTTTAAAGTACCTTCAAGTCAACTAGTAATTAACATTTCTCTTAACAGAAGCTGACGGTAGAATAATCTGTCATGTGTCTCTTCCTAGGACCTAAGATTTCACTGATAAATTGTTTGCTACTAGTTGAGTGTTTAGCAATACTGATCCCTCTCATTAGAAAATACAGCAGTTATTTGACATTGTCTGAACACGTTACTTGTGCTGTTCACTAAAATGTTGACAATACAGTGAATAATGTGTTTGCTTAGCTTTAGGCACACACTTAACCTGTATTAGCAGTAACAGTACATAAAAAGAGCTTAAAGTCAAAGCATGTGTACATGCTTCGTACACAGTACGAGGCCATGCTTTGTTGAAAGAGCCCCAGTCTTATGAATGAGCATTTCGAAAGAAACAAGTATCTGCTGCTTGTAAGCACAACACTAAACCTACTGTCTCACAGTATAAGATTGCTAGGTTGCAATACTGGTTTAAGATGTTCCCTTTTCCACTCCCCTTTCATTCCTGTTCCTGCCCTGTCCTATTTAGTTTTAACCCGGATGAGGGCTGATACCTTGCTTGCAGTGCTTTATGACTCAGCAGGGCAGGAATAAAGGAAGAAGGGCCACAAATATATTGAGACTTTGTGAAACCACAGCTGAAGTAGGGCAATTAATTTAAGGTGTCCTTGCAAATGCACACATACACAAGCACAAATACAGTATACTGTAGATTGATGCGCAAATACAAAATAAATACACATAGGTGCTTAAGGCTTGCACGAGCCTACAAGATAAAGACAAAAATGAGGTGGAATCTGGAAGAAATACTCTGTTCTGTCTATAGAGAGGTACAAAATGCACTTTGTACATCTCAGAAGACTGACTGGTTTCAAAGTTACCACTATTGTTTCTTTTATTTTTTTTCTTGTGTTAGGCAATCTTGGAAGCTACTGCAAATCATTTGTACACACACACATGTGCAGCCTTCAGAACCAGATACATACACACACACGTGCGCACACGCACCTGCAAGTCAGAACAGGCATGTCTGTATTTGGTTTTCAGAGGTGGAAGTTCAGTTTCTCTCCATTGCCTGAGAAGAAAGCAGCAGCACTGCTTTGTTCTGCCTCAAACTACTGGGAGATGTCTGTAATTCATAACCTCTTGTGCTTAAAGAAAATTTGCTTCTGGTACTCTAACCCTTCTGCTCCCAGCGTGCCAGCATGGAGCTGTGTGGAAAGTGTAGTTGCATGTTTTTAACTAACATGACTGTCTTTTGCACAGAATGGTTTTACTCCACTGCACATTGCCTGCAAGAAAAATCGCATCAAAGTCATGGAACTCCTGGTGAAATATGGGGCTTCAATCCAGGCTATAACAGAGGTAGAAAAATGTTTCATACCCTGAAGAAACATTCCTTCTCTCTCTCCTTTTTTGCTTCCTTTTTTTTCTCTTTCCTGTCATGCCTCACTTTCACTTATGTTTTAATGAAACGAAGAAGCCCCTCCCCTATGCCCGTGCAGAGGAGTAAAACTGCTCTTGCTTTGTTTCGCAGTCGGGCCTCACACCAATACATGTGGCTGCATTTATGGGCCACTTGAACATAGTCCTCCTTCTGCTGCAGAACGGAGCCTCTCCCGATGTCACTAACATTGTGAGTATGGCTTTGACTAGAATCATCTGTGTGATGCCTCCTTCAGAGGGGCCCAGCCTACCATGCAGTTCAACCAAAGGTCACATTTGAATGATATTTCATTACCTTATTGCATAGGATATTATATAGGATAAATTATCCTAGCACCTTTCCCAATCACCACTGAGGGGAAAATAACTATTGTATAGGCATTGTAAGCCACCTGTGGTTTCACGTACTCTTCAGCAATGCCTGAATAAGTAAAAGTTGCCCTTAAAAACAGACAAAGCTCACCAAACACTTTCAAAGCTGTGAATATAAGCCAAGTCACAGAGAAGACTGTGTTTCAGTTCAGAATGATGAAATTTATATCCAAATGGCTCCAGTTTCTGCTTGCGCAGTCTTGCTGGCTGTCATGAAATTGTGCCATTTGTGCTAGTGAAAGGAGATGAGATGCTTAAACCTAACAATTAAACAAAAATGTTAAACTCAAGATGTTGCTTTTATACAGGAAATTCCAGGACCTAGTGCCTTTTGAAAGAACATATGTAAACCTAGAAAATGTGACCTTTGGGAGGTAACAAAATGCAGAACCTGACTTACCATAGAAATGGTGTTTGTGTACCAATAGCCTAGTTACCAAGAATAATAATAATAAAAAGAACACGATAGTTTCCTGAGTTATATTTCATAGATATCTTACTGGTTTTATTTGTCAGTATAAACAAATATTTAACTGCTGACTGTCCGCACTTCAAAAGCAGCTCTTTACCAGCAAGTAATGTTATAAATAAATGTTCCCAGCAAGAAAACAACAACAGCAACAAATTAATTCAGGTATGCTGGACTTGGCAGTTTTTCCCATCAGTTAGAAAAATCTTAAATGGAACCCAGTGACAGCGCTCAGCATGCGGGGATGTTTGCCTGAATTGTTAGGACAGACTCTTCTTGAGAAAACCTCTTACTGCTTTCTACTTCTTTATAGAAGCAATTCTTACTGTAAAAACTTTATTGATGATACGGAATCCAACACGAAATTTTTGTGGAAGCAATTAAAAGTATTGTGGTGGTATTACTGGATACTTCTGTGCAAAGTTTAATGCTTTACAATTTGTGCGACACAGGTGTCTTGGCTTTTACTTCGTAAGCTGAAGTTCCCTGTTGGTTTACTAACTGTTTTCAAAAGCTAAATTGCTTTGCTAATTCAAGTACAAAAGGGTCTTTATAGCAATCTGATCTTTAGAGGGTGAGAAATGTAAAATTTGTTCACATTTTAAACACTTCATTCTTCAGGTAATAAAATTTATATAGATGAAATTCTATATTGAGGCTTGTAACTGGGGCTTTGGGATTTTGTTTGTTGCCTACTTAGTAATTGCAGCGGGTAATACAATGTTAATTTTAAAGTGACTAAATAAATGAACTCCAGGTGAAGACAGTTTGCTTTAATTAGAAATTCATAACAGAAGCTAAACTCAGGTTGCTTCTTTTGCTACATGTAGGCAGAAGGACAAGTAGACATGATTTCTGATGCAAAAGATCTTGACAAGAGTGTTTGCTTTGGCAGTTATATTTCACCTTGACAGTCATAAAATATGGTCCAGTTCTATAGTAAGGAGAAGGAACTCTTAACACATAGAAGCTGTGTTGTCATAACATAACAGGTAAATACAGAGCTCTTGATTGCAGAACTGCCGCAGTACCTAATGTACCAGATGTAGATGAGCTGCACAGGGACTGTTTTAGTCCACTTTATGACAGTAAGCTCAAAGAATGTTGAACTGTGCAAAATTCAGCTTGAAACTCTATCATCAAGGAGCAGTCACTTTCAGTGTTCCTGTGCAAATATACGCTTTGAATGTATCATCTGTACTTCGTTATTCAGATCTGAAATTCCACATCACTCCAGTTAGCCTTCCAAAGTTTCATACACTCCTTCAAATTCTGTGGGCTGCAAAAGGCTTGGAATGGCATTTATTCTGTAGCCTGCAGATAGAGCTGGGCTGCTGAGCACAGATTTTACACATTTTGTGTGCTGGCTCAGTTGTGCACAGCCACTGCAAGGACTTTTAAAGCTGCCAGCTCCACACAGCGTGCAGGAGGAGAGCATTTGGAAAAAAAATGCCCTTCCATCTTGAGGCTTGTGTGCCTCACTGTCCCTCAGGAGAAATGGGCTCGATACACTCATGCCTCCTGTATGGTGCACAAGCTGATGCATCCGTGTGTAGAAGGCTGAGGAATGCATGTGACCAGGGGACTCTATAAGGCAGAATATTGTATAAACCAGACTTTTATCCTAACCCTCTGGAGTGTTATTATGTTTGTCCAGGATCACCGAGTTTGCAGACCACAACCCGGTGACATGTATGCACACACTGTTCTTAACAGCCTGTCGTTGGCTCTGAAGCCAGGTTCTCTGGGCAGAAACGCGGGTCTCTACACGAGCTGAAGCATGGGCAGAGTTTGCAGCATCGGAGCTCTGTTTCTTCACAGAGGTTTGGGACACTGACACTTTTTTGCTTTTCTGCAGCGTGGAGAAACGGCGCTGCACATGGCAGCACGTGCTGGGCAGGTGGAAGTAGTTCGTTGCCTCCTGAGAAACGGGGCCTTGGTTGATGCCCGAGCCAGGGTAGGTGTTCTGCTTATAACTTTTTTGCTTTCTCTTACTCAAAAATGTAGCAGAAGCAGGGGAGCAAAGGAAGAGCAATTTCATTTTTATTTGAGCACACCTGAAACGGTTCCAAAACCAATAATGTATAGAATGTGTGCGGTGGGTTGACACCAGCTGGTATCTCAGTCACTTGCTCTCTCTCCCGTGCTAGGGAATGGGGGGGACAATCAGAAGGTCAGAAGTCAGACAAACTTTTGGGTTGACAGGTTAATAAGTGAAGGAGAAAGAAAAAAAACAGAAACAAAAAACTGGAACAAAACAAGCCCTCCCCCTAGAAGTGAAGGAAAGGCAATCACTCACCACCTCCCACAAGCAGACTGCTGCCCAGCCAGTCTCCAAGCAACAGCTCCTTCGGAAAAACTTACCACCCAGTTTTATTGCTGAGCATGACGTTACATGGTATGGATTACTCTGGTCAATTCAGGTCAGCTCTCCTGGCCGTATCGCCTCCCAACAGAGAAGGCCTTGACATTGTGTAAGCACTTTTCAGCAATACCTAAAACACCAGTGTACTATTAACACTGTTCTGGTCACAAATCTAACACACAGCACTTTATGTGCTGCTGTGAAGAAAATTAACTCTGGTTCTAGCCAAGCCCTGTACAATATACTTGGCTGAGACCAACAATAGCTGCTCCATCGAACCAAGAAGATGCACAGCAGCGTCCTAAATCCAAGCATCAGGAGGTTGGGTAGCAGTTACTGCCAGGTTCTGAAACCAAGGGGACAATTTGAAGAGCAAGGTAGTTGGTGTACAACAAATAAGAACACAGAGGAAAGCAAGTGATGGAAGCTGTGTCGTATTACTGAGAAAAGGAAAAAAATGTTTTTCTTCGTAGTTCTTCTCTTTCTAGTTCTGATAAGACATTGCTGAAGCTCATCTCCAGAATTAACCAGCAAGCCCTCCTTTACTGCCTTCTTTGTATTATCAATTCTTAAGATTTTTGCAAGACCAATGCATAGAGACAGCCATTGGGATCAAACACAATATTGTGTTCAGGATAGTTCTACCTGCACTAATTATCTACTCAATTTGAGTTGTAGGAAGAACAGACTCCACTGCACATTGCCTCTCGCTTGGGTAAAACAGAGATTGTCCAGCTTCTGCTCCAGCACATGGCCCACCCTGATGCTGCAACGACTAATGGGTACACCCCACTGCACATCTCGGCCAGAGAGGGACAAGTTGATGTTGCGTCAGTGCTCCTAGAGGCAGGGGCCTCACACTCCATGTCCACCAAAGTAAGACAAAATGCTTTGTGTCTGTATTCTAGTAGCACAGGCAGTGCATTCCTGTGCAGGTCTGTTTCATGAAGAATGTACTTTCACTCTGAGAAATTGAGCTAGTTTGGGTCTTTTTTTGTTCTTATTTAATCCACAGTAACCCAGTAGACTGAAGTAACATCAGAAGTTAATCAAATTTTGACATATTTTGCTGTCATCTGAAGTTGTGAGTTTGGTTCCCACAGGAGCAAAATGCAGGTCATGAAAAATACATTGCCACAACAAATTTAAATGTACCTGGAGTCCTCGTTCATCTCTATCCCATTGTGTTACAAGTAGGGATTTTTTCCAAACATTTTCAGAGTATAAAATGCAGATTTGGGAGGAGGAAGCAATTTATTTTTTTTCTAATGAACAGGCCTGCTTGCTTTTCAGAAACTTGTTTATTTAAATAGTAAAATAAATCTGGTCTGTACTAGCTGAAAGGAATGTTCCTAAATGCATGTTTATACAATTCAGCATCTGTCCAGACTCATCTAATTCTGAATCTATTTTCAGTATTTCTATAAATGAGATAGCATATGACACAATAGGCCATTTTTCTAGACTGACAAAAGAAATAATCTGTGGAATATTGCTGTTTTCTTAGACAAAAATGGTTACCAATACATTCATAACATTGATGAACACATAAGAAAATAGGTACTGTGAATAGAATTATGTGCCAAGATAACGTTTCTAAATTTATCACGTGAATAAGTGATTCTTACCATTGTTTTAGGTCTAAAGAAGTACCCCTGATATCACAGTTGTAGTTTAAAACGTATTTTTGAATCATGGGGTGTCTTCCAGGGTTCACAAGACTAAACTAGCAATCTGAAATTATGATCCATGGATTACTGGGAATGCTTGCTGTTCTCCTTTTATCCGTCTGTTAAATCACATTAAAACGGTTAAAAATACATTAAATACTTCCCCAGTTTTCCATACGGCTTTATGACAGTTGCTTTAGTACTGCAGAAACATTTTATAATTATGAGGGAAAGATGTAGCCCTCTAGATAATCTTTCTACAAACCCGTGATTCATGAGCTGGAAATGTTTTTGATTCCCTGACGTAAACTTTTGTTGTGGTGGGATTAATGGAACAAGTTGTGATGATAATAATCATTACACATCCCTTATGTGTCAGGCAAATAGGTCACTGTAGTTCCCTGGAATTACAGTCAGGGCAGTGGTGCAGTCTGCCACCTACTGTCTTGCATTCATGAGTTTTCCTTATCAACGTGATATTTAAAATTAAATGAGTAGGCAAGCAGCATGTTAGCTTGACACAGACCTTATGTTTGTGCTTTACTGACAAGCATTCTAGAACAAATAGAAAAGGACTCTTTCCAAAAGGCAAGATTTTTGTCTTGCCACATGTTTCCAATGTTTCCAAAAGCACTAGCGTTGAGTCAGGCATGACTTTTTTTAGCTGAAGTTCAGAGGCTGCAGCAGAGGTTGGTGACCATATAGATTAAAAAAAGGAAAAAAAAAAAACAACAACAACAAAAAAAGCACAAATGGAAATCATTTTTCTACAAACTCTTTCAAGAAGAAATATAAGGCTTGGAGCTTGTCTCGCTGAATTTAGTTGGTGTTTCATTGTTACTGGCAACAATTGACACAAGAAATATTTCTAAAGCTGTCATCATGAAACTGGAAAATGCAGCTGGTTTGGAATAGGAATTTGTACAAGTGCCTTCATTGCCCACACAGTGTATGTTGCTAGCAGAATCTGTATCAGATAAAATGTCTGACACACTGTCGCCATGTACTTTGGACAGGATAATGAAAGGGGAAAGTATTTTTTGTATTTCATGCTTCTAAACTGCTCTTAAGGGATGATGCTCTTTCTAGAGATGGTGATTGATTCTACCAGCTAGAATGTAGCTTGAAGAACTACTAGTTTAGTGACGTGGTTCTTGAAAGGGAGATGTCAATGTGGTTTTTAACACAAGCGCTTTCTTCTGTCTCCCGAAATTTTTCAGAAGGGATTCACACCCTTACATGTGGCGGCCAAATATGGAAGCCTGGAAGTGGCGAAACTCCTCCTGCAGCGTCGCGCCTCTCCCGATTCGGCTGGCAAGGTACTCACCAGCGAGAGGAAACAACAATCAGCAGTGGTTTGGATTCTTACTTAGGGTCTAACTGTGTGAAATGTGCATGCGGAGGAAGCCTGCAGCTGCTTTCAGATGGTCGTGTTAGCTTTATTAAGATCACATTCTCCCGAGGCTGATGATTATGGGCATTAGCTTTGGAGGCAGTGCTGCTGCCCATTGGGTTTCGGTTCCTCACAGGAGGGCACGCTGTGCACGGCTGGGAGAACAAACGTGTTTCTGTGGCTCAAGAAACACCGATGCCACCAGGCTGTCTAAACTGTAAAAATCCTAATTAAAAAAACCAACACGGGGGCGAGGCCAGTTTTCCCTGTGCTGCGGGAACGGGTTCTCTGAGGGCTGCTCGTGTTCACCCTCAGCTGCTTCTCCCCCATATCGTACAGCCTAGCCCACTGCCTGTGGTTTCTGGTCACCATTGCTAACGTTAACCCCCCGCTGCCCCACGCCCCGCTAACGCTTGCTAACCACCCTTACAGAACGGCCTCACGCCCCTCCACGTGGCGGCCCATTACGACAACCAGAAGGTGGCTCTGCTGCTGCTGGAGAAGGGCGCCTCGCCACACGCGACCGCCAAGGTGAGCTCCGGCCGCCCAAACAGCCACCCCGATGGCCACCAGCCTCCGTCCTCCCTCCCCTCCTTCCCAACGCTTTTCCCCATCCTCTGTGGAAAGCTGGAGGCGGTACCAGGTGTCATCAGGCATGGGGGAAATTGCAGTTCAATGTAAATTAAAAAAAAAACAACAAAACAACAAAAAAAAGCCTCCAAGGGGTGGAGGGCTCACTGCCTGGAGCAGGTTGCCCCACGGATCCTTGGAGGTGGTCAAAATGTGACTTGGCTGGTCCCTAATTAACCTGGGACGCTGGCCCTGCTTCCAACTAGATGACTGACACCCTGCCCAAATTGTTCTTCTTCCAGACCTTCCCTGAAAAAGAAGAAATAGATATGTGTATGCATATATATGCCTCTCTCTGCCCATTTTTATATTTGCGAGCTTTAGTCATAGTTGGAACTCACTTTAGGATTGTGTAATATTAGAAACCATGTGTATATTCTGACCACACATAAGCAGAATTCATTCTGGGATTAGGAATTGTGTTATGATATCACTGTGCTAGGCACAGGCTAACAAAAGGAGAGAATAACAAGAGAATTGGTACCGGTTTCAGCATGTTCTACCCTGTACGAGACTGCTTTTTACATGCTGCTAAAAAATAGAGCCAGTCCTTGAAGTGATGATAGGAGAGCTGTTGTTTATGCTGGGAAAGCTTCAGTTGTAGTAGGATAGCTCGGGAAAGCTCCCTTTTAAGAAGACACAGACCAACCGAGAGAACACCTCCAACAGAGACTGTTTGCTCTGAGCCAGAATTTTCCCACTTGGTGCTCTGTAAAGCAACTAAAGGTGGGAAGTTGCCAGAAAATACCATCAGCACCTTTCTCCTTTGCTTGAATGGTTAATTTGATCAGAGAAGCATTCATCCCTATCCCTGTTTCCAACCAGAGTCATGACTGACACGTATCAAAATCCCATATGCAAACACACCTCTACCCACACGATCCCAAACCACACGTAGTGTAATGAAGAGTGTGCACCCATCATTCATCCCAGGGAATGTCACCCATCAGTCAGAGGCGAATATTTACGATATAGGTTATTAAAAATATAGGTGTCAAACTCAGGCTAATTTGGAGGTATTAGGTCCTGTCTGCCTAGCGAGTGCCTGCTTTGCTCCAGTTTGTATGGAGAAAATAACAGCCAGCGACAGCAGCAGAACATCAGGGCAATGTGGGACATGGCTGGCACTGAAAATATAACGGAGTCCCATCTCTAGTGATATGGGGTAACAGGAAATTACCTGGTTCATAGGTGTCTGACTTCCTAGGCTTACGTGGCTGTTAACTTTGTTCTCATTTTGTTTCCTGACATCTGTTAGAATGGATACACCCCTCTGCACATTGCTGCCAAGAAAAATCAGATGCAGATAGCGACCACTCTACTGAACTACGGGGCTGAGACCAACATTTTGACCAAACAGGGAGTGACCCCACTTCATTTGGCCTCCCAAGAAGGTCACACTGACATGGTGACCTTGCTTTTGGAGAAAGGATCCAATATCCATGTGGCAACAAAGGTAACTCACAACTGGAGATGAAGTACTATGGTGGGAGTACCCACTAAGATACAAAGCACAGCATGAGAATGATGTAGTGTCGTTAGAAATTGTCTGCTTCACTTCCTTATATGTGAATTTGTGAGCCTGCAGAAGTGATGACAAGTGAGTGAACAGTAGAAGCGTGGAGGGGAAACCAAGGCATGGCAGATAGATTGACCAGTTAACTTATATCATGCAATTAATGGCTGTACCGGGTAGCCCACAGGAGGAGCTGCAGCTGTTTGCCACGATTGGAGGAAAATGGTGTAACACCTGGCTCTGGTAGAGGGCTTACAGGAGAAAACGTTTTCTGAGACATTCAAGAAGGCAGGACTGCAGCATTTTTGTTGTGTTGCAACCTTGCCATCCCTGAGCTGTTTCATATACGCTGCTAGAATTTTACATTAGTTGCAAAAGAGGAGGAATGTAAAATTCAGAGGTTGTGGGCCCATGGGCTGATTTAATAACGTATAACAGAAACCTGAGAGCTACAGTCCAAAAGAATTTAGTGCTCATGCCAGCAAAGGCTCTTTTCCTCATATATTTTACCCTTCAGCCTTCCTTCTGAGTGGAAGAAATTGGCAGCCTCTGGCAAATAACAAAACAACAGTATCAGTGGAGTAGTGAGTAGAAAATAATGCTCTGGAGGACCTTTCCAGTCTTTTGGATTTTCTATGGTTTTACATGATGAGCCCTATAAAGAAAATGAGCTGGCTCCTCAAAAACCTATTACTGTAGGTCTTTATAGGTCACCAGATTTATCCATGCACATATATATAAATCTTGCACACCTGAGGTCAGAAGGCTGCAGCTTTTGTTTGTACAATTCAATATGGAAGGCTCAAGTCTCATTACCTGGAATTAGTGTAATATGTTATATAAAAAATTAAAAACAAGGCAGTTTTCATTTCTCTTTCAAAATTTGTTCTCTTCCTTGTTCATGGGCGAGCACTGTTTGCGTGATCACAGAGAGCTTTTAGTCAAAGTTGCATCCTTGGTGTCTTTGAATGGGATCTATTTTTGGAGTTCCTTTCTTCATTCTGACTTGTGCCTGCAGTTGTCAAGGTTCCTTTTCCCGTCTGAGGAGTGGGAAGCCCAATGAGTGTGCTTCCTGCCCTAATTTATTAATGGGCTTCTCCATTAATAACAGCTTCTCCAGTGGCATTATTGTATAAAATATGAATGTGATCCCTGATTCCTGAAACATTTACGCTGTGGTTCTGGTGATGTAATTGCTGTGGAGCTGTTTGTCAGCCGGAACAGAAGAAACATCAACTCTACTTTGTTTAAAAAAAAACACCCACATTTCTAAGCTATAGCTAGGGTCTGGTTTATTTTTTTTTTTTTTTAAAGATGCAAAAGTGAGAAAGGCTCGATTTCTCATGTAAAGAAGATTTTATTTTTACCCCTATTTATTTATTTATTTTATATATTCTATCTCCAGACCGGGCTGACATCCTTACACCTTGCAGCTCAAGAGGATAAAGTGAATGTTGCCGAAATACTCACAAAACATGGTGCAAACCAGGATGCTCAGACAAAGGTAAATCATGGAGTGACTACTGTCTCCAGTGTGCCAAGGGGTGCTATCGTTGTGAAGGAATGTTCCACTGAGCTTGCAGTTTTATTTCCTTGTTCTCTTGTTGTAGCTCGGTTACACACCTTTGATCGTGGCATGTCACTATGGAAACATCAAAATGGTGAATTTTCTTCTCAAGCAGGGAGCAAATGTCAATGCTAAAACAAAGGTAAAGAATATTTCATTGCTTTCTTTTGCTCTTTATTATGAAGTTATCAACCAAGCGCTGCTGATACACACCGCTAGGTGCTTTTGTCACTACGAAACTACAGTTATTGGATGGTAGGTGTCCATATCTGCTGATTTGTGGCTGTATTGGAATGCATTCTGTCTGCTACATCTCCTTGTGTAGTGTTCACAAAAGAAAAGTCAAGTAACTCTTTGGGTGTGTGTAAGGGGTTATTTTTTTGGTGCTGGTGTTTTTTTGTTTTATTCTCATATGCAACTAACAAATGCAAGCTTGTTTCTGATCGCATTCACACATGGTTTACACCAGTGTAATACCTGTGTGTTGCCAAACCGATAAATAACAATTCAAATACTGTGAGGGTGATGCCAGATTCTCTCCAGTCTGTCGGGAGAAGAGTGGGAAGAATTGTCAATCAAAGCATGGGTGGCATGACTTTGGGAAAGGAAGCAGCAGCAGTGGGAGAATGCAGCTTCCTGGCGACATTTTGTTTTGTTTCAAGACGGAGCTGGGTCTCCTGTTATTGAACAGTTCTACTGAAGTGGACCAAATTGCCAGACTGAATGTCTAATGACTAACTTCAGCAATTCCTTTAAATATAGACTGGTGTGCCTAGCAAACAAATGTGATGCCTTGTGTAGCCAGATGTGCATATCTCCAGAGTATATAAAAAAACAGACTTTCTGGTGACTGTGAAATATTCAAGCTGAGGTATTTAGAAGCTAACTAAAGGGGCATACATACTTGTATCTTTAGTATTAGGTCCCACTCAATGTGTACAGGGGCACTGGAACAAATTCTGATACTAGTACCTCCAGGTATTTCACTAATTTAGAGTAATTTCATTAAAGTCAGTGAGTTTATATGACAGTAAGGGGCAGGGCTTCTCCAAAATCTCATGTCAAGGGACCAATAAGAATATGGGCAGTCTGTCAACCAGTACTGTGCACTTGGTTTAAAGAGTAAATCAATCCTGGCTGGATTCCGGGTAGGCATGTTGAAGTATAAGTAAGCTCTCGTGCCTGCAGGATGTTTTATGCCATCTCCAGTGAAAAATAGTATTACTGAACTCCGTTTTTAAAGGACTGCGCTGATATTTAAGTTAAGATAGTAACTATACTTTGCACTACAACCTACAGTAAGATCCTCCTTTGATTTCTTAGTAGTCCATGCATGCATTACTGTACATTTAAGAACTGTAACAGTTCTAAGCTATCGCTGTTTAATTAGTTGTACATAGCATTACTTGCATCTGTTGAGTTGCGAAAGAGATGATTCTCAGAGTGTGTTCAGGGCCTGCCCTCAGGTTTTACCTGAATAGTGACATCAACTTGGTATTTTCTCCCAGTTTATTTTCTGCTTGCTTTCAAACCAATTGCAAATCATTTTGTAAATGTATTGCCTGACTGGACTTACATAATACCATCTCAGATCAACTAGCCAAAGTACACTTTGGCTGTGTTTCTGTATTGTGTAACAACAGAATTGAATCACTGGAGCAGATAAACATATACAGTTAAGCATGTTTGTTCATACAGACATTGTGTACATGTTTTTCAGTGTAATTATGGCTTGACCAGGCCTTTTTGAAGCGAAAGTAAAGCTAAAATGATTGACATTTTTAACAGGTATATATTGTTAGTCTTTATAAAAGCAAATGACATGAAATCACTGCTGTTAAAAAATTACATATTCTTAAATTGTATCAAATATTTTAAAGGCAAATCTTAAGGCTTCTATGGAAAGCAAAGAGGCGAGAGAAGGAGAAAAATTCTCTGCTCCAGCTATGATTCTGTGTTTTTAGCATACCACTTTAATTTGCTGTTCCTCGCTGTTCCTATCCAGAAATTGGCTTTTATTGTGTGATGTAAGATGATAGATGAATAAAAATACTTTCTTTAAGTTTTCATTAATTTGGGGAATGAATGTTATTATTACTGTAGATTTATCATCTTTGTGTCAGTTGATGGCCTGATTTCTTTTTGAAACGTCTCAAAAGGAGCAGAATTAAGCAAACCAAAGTGTCTAATCTAATTGCTGCTGGTTGTTGTTGTTCTTTGTTTGCTTTTATGGTGACCACTGTGGACAACAGAATGGGTACACCCCTCTTCACCAAGCTGCTCAGCAAGGCCACACTCACATCATCAATGTTCTTCTCCAACACGGGGCCAAGCCCAATGCCATCACCACTGTAAGTCTTTGAAGTGTCTGTGGAATATGTTTCCCTAGATAGTTCTTTCCTTTCCTTTCTTAATGCTTAATAGCAAGTCTTTGTTTTGGTGAGCGTATTCCTCAGACAGCTGGTTGTCAGATGTGTAAATGTAACTTCCTCTCCTTTTCCTTACACTCTTAAGGTAGTTCAGATATAACTTAGTGTGCATTAAGCTGTATATGACATGAAGAAACTGATTTCTGAGCTGTTGGTATCTTGAGAATTGGTATCTTGAGATATATTTTTCCATAAAAAATAAGCGGAAATCTGAACCTGGGTTTCTTGGAAGATTTGAATCCAGATTGCTGTCCCTCTACCTACTGGTTCTCTGTTTTAGGTTCTTACTAAGTTCATGGATGTTAATACCTCTTCAAAGACCATGAGTAACCTCTTGTACAGCTCCTTTTCCATGGTCAGCTGGGAATGCAACTGTTCTATTTCATGTTGATGTTGTTGTTAGTCACCTCTACTTGGGAAATCTTTAAAATGTAGCCAGAAAGTCCAAAACCTGTGGTCATTCCCAAAGTTGCTCCAGCTACCATGTATTATGTGTATTGTGCATGCCTAGACTGGCACTGGGGGAGACCTGCTTGGTCCTGGGACAGTCACATGGGATAATCTTCTGTGAAGTTAGCTAAGATAGCAGTTTATGTGCCATGACCCAAGACACCAGTATCCAAACCATGCATCCAAGATACCAGCATATGTGTATCGTCAACAGGAAATCTTTAGTCAGCTTCTGGGCCTGAAGGTTCTGCTGGACACATTCAGCCAAAGGTTTCTTTACTTGAATTCAGTCCTCAAGTTGGGTCTGTCATGCCAACGCTTACCCAAATCCAAGCAAAGTCTCAGGAATGTGTCTGCACTGCACGGTTTGCATGCTTTTTAAGATTCTAACTCTGTTCTTGTCCATATATTGCAACCTTTGGGTTGACGTAAGAGAATTTCAACATGAGACAGCTGACCTGGGGTTATGGGAGTGGGATATGGGCAGTTAATGTGCAAGTGACAGTAACAATCACACTATTTGTGCTGTAAAGATGCTTATCTATTCATTTTGTGGTGCTAATCCACAAACCTTGCATTGCTTCAGGGCTGCTGAGCTAGGCTAATGCGGAAGAACTGAAATGATGGGTAACTAAAGCTGATACTGGAGGAAGAGAAACCCTCAGGCCGACACCCTGCGCATAGTGCAGTGGTATCACGCGAGAAACCTATACAGTGTGAAGAGCGATACGGTGGCTTTCCACGATTCCCCTAGCAGGCTAGCATGTTGGTCTTCAGTTCAGTGCAAAGTGATGTCAAACAGTTCAGTGTGCAGCTCTTTATGGAGAGGCATGGACTATGTCCCTCTGCCCCCTCCCCAAGCTGAGTGGCGCAGGGCCCACGGCCTGCCACATCGCAGAGAAAGAGCCAGGTCACTCAGAACAGGCTGCCAGTCCCGTCAGGCAGTTCTGCAGGAACTCCCTCAAAAGAGTTATGGACGATTTAGCAAGTTTCTGATACTTATTTTTATTTTTTTCATGAAAAGGTTCATTAATTTTGCCTCCTGTTGTGGCTGGCCTTATGCTACAATGGAAGAGCTCCTCGAAATAAATTGCCACGGACGCTATTTTGAGGCAGTTTGAGTGGAATTTCAAATGCAGTGAGACAGATGGCAATCTTAATTACTGTTCATTTAAAATGAAAGGTTACAATCTATGTTCATAAAATTGAATTAATAGTGCTTATCTCCCGATCTATTTTGATGTTCCAGGTGATAAACTGGAGATAAATATGCCTAAACAATTACTAAATTATCATTGTAATATGCATTTCCCGAATGGCACATCTCTATATCATGGTCATTTAAACTGCAAGTAAATGTATTTACATGGAAAATAGTTGCCAACACCCAAGCCTCATATAGGCTTGTTTTTGTGTTTGTTACCATCAGCAGCTTTTGTGTACTTCTTGCACATACATTTTTGTTGTAAGGAGGAATTAAAGTGCATGTGGAGAATATAGCTGTAATCCTGTATTCCTCAGAGAGGAGTTGCACCAGATAAAGATCTCACAGTTTCAACTGGAATCGAAACTGTAAGATTTAAAAATACTTTTTAAAGAAGAATGTGTTTAATATAAGTCAGTTTATGCAAAATGAAGCATGAACTTCTGCAGACGAGACAGTCTGTGTAGTGGAATTTGACTACCGAAGGGTTAAAGCATACAGCACTTTTTTTTTTTTTAATTTAGAATAGCAGGCAGATGTAAGTGTGTTGTGTTACCATGGTAATCAGAGCTATAGTCTTAAAGAAGTTACAAAGACAGAGTCAGATGTAACGGTAAAAAAACAGTGATTTTCCTAGGCTGCGCCTTGTTTTGGATGGAAATGCTGGCTCATGCAGTGTTGAGAGTGATCTCATTGGTTCACATCACAATCCTCCCTCTCATTTCTCTCTCTCTCTCCTCTTCTCTCTTTTTCTCTCCAGAATGGTAACACTGCCTTAGCTATTGCTAGGCGTCTGGGATATATCTCAGTGGTCGATACGCTGAAGGTTGTAACGGAGGAGATTACTACCACCACAACTGTGAGTTGCAGCTGCATTAAAATGTTTTTCTTCTTTATTCAGAATGTTGTCTTGCTTTTCTTCCCTCAGATTCCCCATGTACCTCTTCTTACTTTCTAGTTTAAGCCCCCCTTTTCTGTTAGGTTTTTGCAAAAGTGCTTTCAAAATACCTTTTTAGCATGTAGAAGTGTGTGCAATACATCAGGTTTTACTGATCCAGTTAACAAATTTTATGTGCATACAGAGGGAAAAACAACTACTGAGGGGCAGAGTAAAACTTTTTGTCTGGAGATGGGTCTGAGCCACAAATCCAAACTTCCCAGAAGTTTGGGAGTTGTTGTATAGATCCTGCCCTGCTTCTCTATTTGTCTTTTTACCTCTCCCCTTCAGTCTCTTCTTACATTTCCACGTTTCTTTTAACACCTGCTGGGGCTCAACCATTGCAGCGCACCACAGCAGGCTTCTTAGCATTTGGACTCTACCAGCTGTGGACTGGTGCCAAGCTTAATGATGCTCACTAGATGGCTCTGAGTCGCATCAATCGTTTTTTTCACTCAAGGCACTTTCAGTTCAAATGGATCCTGTTTTTGCAAAATACGGAAGAATTTTTCCTTATGTGTTCAGTCCTCTCACTCTTAGTAATCTGTATTTTTCAGGGTTTGTGAATAGCAGATGCTGTCCATCGGCAAGGTGGTACTGTTGCTTTAAGCCAGGAAAAAACATGTATTTTGACAAACTGAGAGGGGAAGGCTTTCTCTGCTTGTAATTTTACCTCCCATCTACAACTTTTTTTTAGAAGTTAGGAAGGGACAACATCAAAAATAGTGCATCATTTAAGAAATCAATTTTACTATATATTTCCATTACTGCATTTTATCTTGGAACCTTGTTGTAGGATCCTGCTTTTTTTTTATTTTTTTAAATGCAAGTAAGATCAGAAGTCTAGAAAACCTATCAGATCTAGATGTCATTTAGGAGCTCACAGATTGCTTAATAGATGCCACTATTCAATTAGGGAGGGGGCTAGGGGAAGGCAAAGGAATGCACTCTTGTTTAAAGAAATGGGAAAATTTGATTTTGCTGCATGCTGACGGCAAGTCTCCTTGTTATTAACTGAGGAAGATGGAATAAAAGTAGCATGGCATAGGGTTACAAACAGAGTGAGCCATAATTTATTAAAGACCTGCAAAAATCAGACTGAGTCAGGTTTGGACAAGGAATTCCAACATAATTCCAGAAGTCTCTTTGTAAGGACTGTAGATTTTTGTTGATACTTCTTTCACGTTTTGATTTGACCATCTAGCACATCACACACACACAAGCATAAGCACATACATATCTAGAGACTTTAAAAAAATATAAAAGCTAGATCATTTTTTTCAAGAAACATTAGCTCTATTTTCTATAGCATATATATTTTTTTATTCTCAGATGACACCTTTGCTGTTCTTAGTCTATTCTTTGCTGTGTCCTGTTACCCTTTTTCTATTCTGGCCTGACATAAGTTGTAACTTCCTTTCTATCGTACATTGTACAGCGCTGTAGGGCCTTGTACCTTGTCATATATACATATAGTATGTTTTGTAATAATAAGGATCCAACTGTGAAAAGACACCTCTGAGTTATTTACTTTGGATAAATGTTTCTTTAAACTTTGAGAGTAGTGGCCTTTTCAACCAGATACCAGATGCTTGAGGTTTAGGGCTGAATCAAATGCTGAAACTTACTTGCATAGCTGAACTCTGATACTTGCATATGAGAGAAATCTGAAATCTTGCACTGTGTCTGTGTACAAACCACTATTTTTAAAAGCCAGGTGGGAACCCTCAGTGAACTCAGCAGATTTTTCAGATGTGAATTTGTCTGAATCTTTTACCTTAGGGATATACAGAATGTAAACCTCTGTTGTTGTTGTTGTTGATGGTGGTGGTTACTGTTGATTAAACACAATTTTGAACAAGTGCTAAAAAGGAGGGATAAATAGCAGGCACTCACAGGCACTCCCTGCAATAAAGTTCTCCAAATGATGAGGTTGGTATTGCCAAACCAGCATTTAGCAGTGCAAAAAGGTACTGTCACCATAGCTACTTCATTCTCTGAGGTTGTAGCAGAGTGATGCATGGAGGATGTTAGAGAGGCTGATGCTTTATTAATATTCAAGTCACTGCCATTTGAGATGAGGAAAAAATCTCCAGTGCCAAAGCCTTTGGTCTAACTTTGAACAAATTTTCCTCTTATTTTTACAAGTTTAGTTGTTAGTGGAGCCACATGAATATAAAGCAACAGAGTAAGGTGCACATATTTTCACTCTGTTTAGAGATGAAATGGAAGTTAAACAGCATAAGCTAGACTTTCAAAGGTTTACTGTGCAATAGAGTTTGGGGTTATTTATACAAATAGGCATAGTCTTCTTTTAGACAAATTAATGCAGGAGGAGCCTTGTGATTTTTTTATGCTGTACTGCTGTTGAGTAAGCAATTGCTGAACATGCATGCAGGTTTATATAAATCCATCTGAATTATTCTGTGTGAACACATGAATTCTGGCCCTGCAAAGGAAGTTTTCAATACAGAAGCTTGAAGTGAAGTCCAGAATAGAGTTCTCAGTGGCCCTAAACAATAGTGAGTGGGCCATTCATGGAACTGGACAAGGATTTCAGATTTTGTATTTGTCATTTTTAATGTGCCTATCAATTAAAAAATATAAAAATATTTTTGTTGAAAATAACAACAACGAAACAATTCCCAGCTTCTGTTGGGAATTGATGTAGCATTAATAACTCTTACTGAGTTCAGTGTTCTAGAGATGATATTACAGAGTTTTTCTTCTGAAATACAGTCACACATGCACACACACATTGATTCATTTTTCCAAACTGTGTTTCAGTTGTTAAATTATGTAAAAGTTATTTTATACTGAAGGGAAAATCAGGAAATAAATACAGTATCATTACTTCTTTGTAATTAAATAATAGTGCCTGAGGTTGTTACTATCCAGGAGCAGTACAAATCTAATTTATGAATAAATTGATGCTGTGATAAATTAACCTTATGTACTAGGGTATGCAGATCTAAGTGAATGCCAAGACAATACACAAAATACCTGACAGGCAGGGGGGAAGATGCTCTATACCTGTAGCTTGTGGATCCATGTGTTGTAGCATCCTTTCACTTCTCTGTTCTTGTTATCCAATGGGTTTTGTACATAAGCCAAACTGGGGAAACAAGTTTTCTTAAATAAATTTTGGTAATACAACAAACATGCAGAAACTAGCATCTGTGACTCCTAGGCAGTCCACTTCGTTCCCCTTTCTTCAGAACTTGATCATCTCCTTCTGCCTTTGTTTTCCTGACTTTTCTGCTATTTTACCTGGGGGACCTACAAACTGGCAATAGCAAAGCTGTGTTAAAATTTGTGTAAATATTATTATCATGGCAATTAGGATGCCAGTAAACTGGTACTCATGTACACTTCGGTATTTCACTTGAAAAATGCACAGCCCCCCCTTCACTTGGGTTTATTTCTTTAGCATGGTGCCAGTGATATTTTTTTATTATTATTATTATTATTTAGTGTAGGATGCATTTGTTAACTCATTGCTGTATTGCTGAAGAGACAAGGTCAATGTCACCTGAACAACAGCATGCTCTCCATCTGTCACAGCTGGCTGTGTCACCCTACTGCAGTTGTATCTGCGAAAAGCTGTAGGCATGCAGGGCGAAAAGTCAAACATATTGGTGGAGGCATTCAGGGAATATAAACGATTTTTTTCAACACAGCACATGTGTTACGAAAAGCACTGCAGCAGAAACAACTGATTTCCTGAATCATGGTTAAAAGTAAGTTTCGGGGGCCTAATTGGGATTACCATTTGAGACAAATGTCATTGTCCTTTCCCTGTACCTCAGGAGAATTGGGAACTGCTGTCACAGTTAAATAAATCTTCAAAACTGTAAAGCAGGCTCTTTAAGCAAATTTCCAAAGTAATTACTCTATTGGTAACTTTGTTAGTTTTGAAAATGCAGTATCTTAGAATTATCAAGAGTGCCATCTTTGTCAGTTTGTTAGAAAAGGAGAAATATGAGGCAGAGCCTGGAAAATACCTGGTAGGTTTTGTGCGATGGTGACAGCTATTGGCTTTGCTGCTTGATATCAATGGGCATTTTCCCAAAATCACGTTGCGTAAAGTCCTGGGGGTTTGGCTGACATTAATTAGCACTCGGATTGTACGCTCTTTCACTGCTTCTGCATATAATGTTAATTTATGCTTGATAGATACCATCCACAATGGGGAGCTAAGTACTACCTCAGTGGGAGTTTCACACCACTGGTCTCCTGACGTTCCCCTCCACGCCAGAGGGGCACATCTGCTGCCACATGCCTCGAGCAGTGATGAGTTCACTCCCCTCCACAGCTCCTCAGTTCAGCTGACTGTAGCAGAGCTGGGTGGAGCCAGGGAAATATTTATTTTTCGGTTGTGACTAATGCTGTTCTGATCACTGCTCTTGTTTAAGTCCTTGACATTTTGTCTTTTGTATTGGAACACATGAAGAGCTTACTTCAGACAGCTTTCTCACACCTTGCACTGCTCGCAGCTTCTCTCATTGTGTTCTTTCTCTACTTTTCTGATGTCTGTCTTGATGCTAAAAGGATATCCTCCATTCTTAATTCAGCACCCCTAGGCATCTCGTGTTTCCTCCTTATTTATGCAGATGAAGTCACATATAAGAAAATCTTCTAGCGTTCTCCTGCTCTGTGCTCTTGCACTTAGTGTCTTTTGAGCATGTACTTGGTCCCTGTACTACAAAATCAGAATCTCCAAATAGCATTGTTCTGATGTATATGTGATTTGGGGGAATACACATGATTTATTAAAGGGATATCATTAATATGCAGTGTAGGCAGTTCTGGGGGGAGTGGAGGAGAAAGAAATGTTTCAAGTGATCTGTGTAGATCCTTCACATCTTTTTTTAGTTTAAAAATTTCACATCATTCATAACTTCATTTCCAAATGCTTTACGATTTAATAATTTCCATATGCCACATGCAACTCTGTGAATCTCTTCTGTAGACATTACCTAATTCATTTTAAAATCATCTTGGAAACACTGAACCGAATTGTTCTGCATGCACCGTTTATAAATAAATTTGCTATGAACTTGCTTTTCTTTCCTTTTTTTTTCCTTCTGACCAGCTCATTATCTTTGTGCGTGTGTTGTATTACTTCTCTGCCAGAGTAAATGTCACCTTATACAGCACTGAGAACAGGAGCTTCTGAAGTAATGTTAAACAATATAGTTAGGGGAAGGGGAATCACATTATGAAATGTCTCAACAGATCCTCCCTTCTGCTGCTGTTGAAAATACTCTGTTATAAACTTGCTGCCTCTTTTGTTGTTTAATTTGAGGATTGATGATTCTGTCTTTGCAGACTGTAACAGAGAAACACAAGCTAAATGTACCTGAAACAATGACCGAGGTCCTGGATGTTTCAGATGAAGAAGGTGAGCTACTTTAAGTTCCTATTCCATATCACCTATGCCACCTGTAACAGAGGTTTAGGATAGCTGCTTCCGTACATCTTCATTTTACAGTGCTTGAAATGATGATCTGTGTAATAGCATTTTTTAATGATGTAATCATTACGACATTTGAATACGTATGCCAAAAATTGACCCAAACCAAAATGCAACTTCTTTTTTAGGAAAAAAAATAATAAATAAAAGCTTACTATCTTATCTGAACCAAATCAGCAAATGCAAACATTTCTCAACTTGACATTTCAAAATTTAAATGTAAAGCAGTCCCAAAGCTGGATTTGACCCTCCCATAAAGATGAATTTGAGCAGTAAAATTTTTGGATCACAGCCACTTATTTCAGATACACATATCTAGGAGTTCTGCTTAATTGGAAACATTCACGTAAGAAGATGCATAAGGTGGAAGGTGAGGACACTGTTCCCTAGAGGGAGTATTTGGCACACACAAATCACAGATGCATACAGCATGACATAAAGTAACAACATGCTAATAACTTTGGCACTTTGGTCCCAGACTTTATTGTGTGCACAGACGAGAGGCATATGTTGTATCGCTTAGCTAAGTCCCAAGAAAATTTCTGTGAACTTCTGTAGGGACTGATAAAGCACTGTGCTTTTAAACAGCACAGAGTTGAGTAAATAGCTTAAAAACATCCCTTTCTAAAAGTTCTTGAATGGCATCTTACAAATTTTAATCACTGGGGCAACAAATATATATACATGTACTTGCAAAAATTTTCTAAGTTCTTTTTGATAATCAGAAGTGTTAATTAATACTACAGTATCTTACATAAGTCATATTTTATGGTTACTATTCTTTTGTATAAATAATTTGTAGAGAGGTTGTAGCTTCAAAAAATCCAAGGGATTTAGGAACAAAAATTCTTTTTTTCTTTTTTCCCATTTCTTCCTTTTTTTTTTTTTTTTTTTTTTTTACAAAGAACACAAATACACTTGTGGTTTTAAATTGTTCTGGAAGTTACTCACATTCATATTCCTAAACTGCTTGTATTACTTTGCGAATTACACTGATAAATGAGTTACACTTGAGAAAATACTGTGTTTAGGCTCCAGATACTATTTTTTTTAAATGCTTGCAAAGCTGCAAGTCAAAGCAAACAAGTGTTTGTTTGTTTTATTTATTTTATATTCAAAATAAGCTATTTTCTGCTGCAAAATGATCACTTAAGTTCTTCGTGTCAGGCTTGTTAATGCTGTATTTTCTCTGTTTGAAGAACATCCAAATACTTGTATAATTATGATGACAAAAGACCTTTATATTACCTGTAGCCTTATGTTCATTTTGTTTCATTTTCCCCTATTCTCGTGAACTACTGTTTAGCCATCTTTAAATCTGCAAAGCATAGTATGTTTATCTGCTTCTACAGGATTAATATTTAGGGTATTTCTTTTTCTCAAATCAATTTGTATGCTGAACAGCCTTTAAACACTCTGATGATGAACGCTTCAGTGATGGGGAAGTATATAGTTGCAGAGGTGCTGTTAGCAGAAATTCATGGAGTAAGATTTACAAACTTTCTCTTTTTGTTTAACTTGGTTTGTTTGTTTTATTTTTGTGCTGAAGCAACACAAATTTGCTTAAGCTGGGTGCCTAACACTGCTTTTTTTCGTTACTTATAAAGTGTGGCTGGGCTTGTGTGTCCTGAAAGGTGGGAGGAATAAGGGAAGCCAGAAAATCCAAGATCTGTTACCTGTATCTCTAATTAGTTGGCAGAATTTACCGTTGCCATCCAGCATGACTAATGCTCTCCGGTGCATTGAATTAACATTCTCTGCTTCCTGTTACCATCTGACACCTCCTGTTTGTCAATAGCCAGCCAATATGATACAGGTACTCGGGCACGTTGCCTCTCAGGGGCTGCACTGAATACTCACACCAGCAGTGCCTCTGTCTGTGATCCTGCTGCAGGTTCGCTAAGCAGGTTGGCCACAATTAAAGCACCTCATGCCATTGTCCTTGTGAAAACAGCTTCTAGAGGCAAAATACTGAGCATGTTGAAAAAATGGCTAATGTGGATGGTATGTATTAGAGGAACATGAAGTAGCTGGGGGCAGAAAGAGCGGAGAACTTTTTAATAAAGAAGATGAACCTTTAGTGATTGTGTAGTCTTTATAAGTGGCTTGCAATAAAGTTTCTCTAATACTATGTTCTTGGCAGCTTTGAAGTGACATAGTATGTTCTGAAATAAATTAATGTGACATGGTAAACCTGCCAGCTGTAAGCATATAATGATAAAGTTGAACACAACAAAACTACTGGAGCAAATAAATACTTGATTGAGGTTCCATGGTGGAGCCTGTTCATCCCTGGTGGTTAAGTATTTTACATTTTGCCTGGAAAACAGTTATCTTGCATAATTAGTATACTGTTACAATAATAATACAGTATTCTTACTCCTAAAATCCAGTCTTGGCAGTATAAAGTAAAGGGCCGTATTGTCTGTCAAATATTTTGGCTTGGTATGTAAGTAATTCTTTAATTTTCATGCTTAGCACTAGCATTATTTAGAATTCTTTACTTTTTAGCATACCTTAAAAATCCTACTTCACCTGCTTAAGGCTTATTACGTGGGTCTAAATATGTGAGATACTCTGTGGCATTAATGAGCCTTTCCTGCTCTGTGACTGTGCAGTTTTATTTAGCAGTTTATTTATATACCACATAAATACACACATGCACATGTGTTTCTTACTGCTGCTTTCTTTGCTTGTAGTACTGCCAACCATGAGGAGTGTTTAAGGATAGTCATACATTGTTAAATCAGTGTTTGGAAGGTAATGGTCTGATATTGGGGGAAAAAAAAAAAAAAAGGTTCAGAATGTGCTGCTCAGGATTACACTAGATTCCCACAGGCATAGATGTTAAGTGATGTGATTCCTGTAATACATATCCAAGCCAGCAGAAATGCTTTGTGTGCATACAGTTGAGCTATAAAAATGTGCATTTTTAAGCATCGTATCCTGATTTTGCCATTTGTTTGTACTGTGACAAGTTTTAGTTCTGTTAAAGCTGTTGCCACGAAAGAAGCAATTTGCACTTGAGGTGTCCTTGCAGCAGAAATGGGCAAGTACTGCAGAGTAGCTTTTAAAATTTGAGTGAAATCTACAGAATTAGAGAAGTTAAGCACAGGCAAATGTTTGTGCTAGGACTAAGCCAGTGCAGACACACTACGAAATCTAGACTATTTTTTTCTCTCATATGTTAATATCATATTGAGGAATATGTTGCTGTTCATCTCTTCTCATCTCTTATATTATTTTTGTGGCTAAAGAACTGTACAGACTGCTGATGATTTACCTTTGCGAATCCCATCTGAGACAGAACAGTAAGTGTAGCTCTGTACAGACCGGTCAGTAAGACAGGTTATCAAAGAGCTCTCACTTATGTCTGTTTGCACCTCTATCTGCAACTGTTTTCAACCCATTTACCTTTTATAAGGCTTCACTGTCTCTCTGAGAACAAGTTCTGGCTGCTGCAAGTTGTCATGGGTCTAAACCACACGTTTCCGTATCCTGCATTATGTCAGCACAAACGTTGCACCATGTGGTGAACCAGCCCTGAGAACTAATGCATCCAAAAATGAACCTTTGTTTGTTTTTACAAGCTGTTTCTCAGCCAGACTACTTTTGCAGGCAGAAGGGAATAGAAAAGGTGAAGTAGAAGGTGAGACACCATGGTAGTGGCAACATGCCCCTCAGGTGGCTATCATAAAGGTCAGGTCACACTGCACAGCCATTAATGCTGACACTTTCATTGCAAAGAAGGGTTAGACAAAAGTCAAGCAAACTGTCACCTGCCAGTAGTCAATGGAGTCTCAAAAATCAGATGGCATCACAATATCCAAAGAAAAAGCATCCTTATCATGAGAGTGCTTGTCTAAAAGTTGGTAGAGATTCACCCCAGCGCCTGGTTGAAACACAGGTTTGTTTTTTTTTTTTTTTTTTTTTTTTCAGAAATTTGTATTTCTTGAAAAAAAATCTAAAGGCCATAAAGGCATCTTAAAAAGAAAGACAGTAGGACTTTGAATTTGTTGAAATATTCATAAAAATGGAAAAAGCATCATCTCATGTCCTTAAATAATTAAAAATAAATATATGCCAATACCTATATATGGTACTGCCCCTGGGTCAGATTGTTGCATTTTTCCTCTCACAGAGTTGCTCCTTTTTTTCCCTTTTAGTTGTCAGGCTTGATCAAAATTGATCAAAATTGTGATACTGCATCATTTAACTGTATCCATGGTAACAGTGTCTGCATAACAGTGGGGTTTGCTATCCCTTCATGGCTGTGCACCAGTGACAGTGGCATATCTGTATACTATTGCACTGCCTAAGGACAACAAAAATGTGATCTTAGATTCTAAAAAAAACCAAAAAAACAGTCTGCAGCTAATCCATACCCATTTACATCAGATTTATGATTTTTAAAAATATCCATTTTATGGATTAAAAGTAGACCATTTTTTTTCATTCTAGACAAAGTGTCAATGAACAGAACTTCCAAAGTTGCTTATTAAATCTGGTTCAGATACACATGATCGATGGAATCAGGCCAGAAGTTACTGCTTTGCAGATACACAGTCCTGTAGGGTTCAGGAATTTATTTCTCTACCACTGGTGATTCCTGAGTGACCCTGGCGAAGTCAGTGTAATTGTCTTGGACCAGTTGTTGAGTGGAATAATGATAAGCTGCTTTGCCTGGCCCTTTGGGACCATGGAAGAAAATGCTGCATGCATCTGTCTACCTGTCTTCGTAACTGCTTGTCTGGAACTAACAGACTACCTCATTGGTATTATGAATATTGTTATTATAAAATGATAATGTGCTCTGATGCCCCAAAATATTATTTTGTCAAAGAGAACATTTTCTGTTTGTGGTAACTGCAGTTTGCACGTTGATAAAAATACTGAATTCCACAATAGTGTCTCTAACAGCAGGAAAC